CTGCATCCACGCGGATCCGGGCACTATTAACGTAGTAATCGGATGTCTCACCCCTCACATTCTCGTCTTCTTGATATACTTTATCGACATCATTTACGGTCGGTATTCCCCTCGGTCTTGATGCACCTCGTGCACTCAGTCTGTTCCCCACAGGCATCCAGGCAGCCCCCGAGGCAAAGGAACGATCGCACGTCGCCCGCTCGCGTGGAGGAAGGCGCTGGGAATGGAAGCAGCAGTTCCATTCCTCCCTTCGAAGGGAGTGGAACCGATCCTTCCGCCCCCAATTCCACTCTCAAAAGGGAGGAGTGGAACTGGGGGCGACAACTCGAATCCCGTTCATCGGGGGGGAGTGGGGGTCTGCCTCGATTCTCATATCACTTTCTTTCCATTATCTTCTTTCTTTCTTTCCTTTCGTCGTTTGACATGGTCTCATCCCGATCGCTCCTGACGATCGAGTGACTGCAATTTGTGTTAGTGCCTCTCGATTCTCTAACTTATAAAGCTCGAGGACCCTATCGTATTTGGAGACCGCAGCTTCCCCATGGTTTTATTGGCTCGTTGTCTAATGGCTCGAGGAAGAAGTCTCGTCATTTAAGGCTGCGCAAAAACTCGGAACAAAAAGGAGCGTTCTTCCCCCTGATATGAAATCTCACTTATTTGAATGGGACCGCGTACACCGAAGCAGATAAGTTGGGATTTTCCCCACGCGGTCGGGGCATCTTCTTACAGACGTGGAGATGAACGACGTCACTCGGAACAGGCCCGCATGACGTGGCGCACAGCAGACGAGGATCGACAGACGATCAGCCCCGCTCGAGAATTCGAGACGATCCTCCCCGAGAGGCGTTTGCGTGCGGACTCGGTAGCTTCTCGGGGCTCGCACGAGTCGAGCCACGATTTGCAAGGTGATTATGGTGATCAGGTCTTCGATAAACGGCCCTTGAAGCACCTCGACTCGAGGCTCACGATCGGGACAGAGAATAGCAGGAGAATAATCGGCCCAGACGGAGAAGGGAAAGTTCTGTTCTGGAGGGAAAAATAGAATCCCGATCCCCCTGTCCGCATTTCTGAGATATGCAGAAATGGCCCTTCCGGCATTTTGCCGGATGTTTGCAGAAAGCTAAGTGGATGGACTTTTCGCCGCATTTTGTCTTCAGCGTGTCGCTTCTCCATTCGAGTTTATCCGATTCTCTGCACCTACTGCGACTGTGCAGCACCGCTCAGAATTCACCGGAAACGGTATAAAAGCCGTGTTCGTCTCCTAACGAGGCCCTCGCTTCTTTTTGCCCCATCCGGAGAGCATTGGCTTTGTTCTGCTTACCTCTGTGAAAGAATGATCGCAAATGTATTGATAGGAAATTTGTGAAGTACGCAATGAAGGAGGAAGAGGAAAACGGGCATTAAGAAAACGAAAGTAGAGTGAAATTCCAAAATTTGTTCATCGATTAATGTTGATTAATCGATTAATGTTGGCAAGCCTGCTACACAGCTAAGTTTACTTTACATCAATGTGACATTTCTGATTTCAAAAGCAAATAATTTTTTGCAGACTTTTCATTCAGTGCAGTTCGCTGAATAAACCGATTATATATTATTACATTTTCAAAAGAGGAAGACGGTATTTCGAAATTGCTGCATCCACCTACGAACTTGCTGGAAGGACAGACCGTCCACAAACTTATTGAAACTCATCTCCCGAGAAAATGTTGAGACCACGCATGTCGACAGTCCGATTGTCTGAATGCCGAGCGAGGGTTAACGTCGAAATGAGCGTTTTTTTTCCCTTCCCTCGATGAAGTCTCCAAAACGATATGACTTCGGCAATGCTTATCGCCGTCACGAATTTTCTCTCTCGAAGTCGGAGAGATTAGATGCATTCTGTCATGCACCTTCGGTGGTCCTTCCATCAGTTCGTCGTTTAGGGACACGACTCGTGCATGGGGACTGCAATTCTGGCACCTCCATTGCACGATGGGACCTCCATTGCACGCTCTCCTTCGTGCGCCATTCACGAGTGAATAAATAAATACCTATGCACGACAAACATTCTGCCAGCCTTCTGAGAATGCACGTATTGCATGTTAGTCGTGATTACTGTCCCGATTCCTCTGACGGATCGCTTCTTACCGAATCAATGAAAACCACCAGTTCCGGCTGATGCAGATAAATGATCGGTTGACAAGGCAATCTCGAATGCCCCGAGGGTTAAAAAGAAATCTGCTCTCCTTGATTAAATGAAAACCCGTGGAACTTGATAGTCTGGAGCGCATTCAATGTCAATATCCTGAAAATTCCACTTTTTTCACGTTTAAACACCTTTAGTATTAAAAGAAATCGACATTATGCCCATAGGACGATTGTGCATTCAACATTGCGTGGCATTCGACTTTTTTATAAGTCGACATAAACTCTGCCGACATTTTGGCTTTCAACATTACGTTAAAGAATCATTCAAACTGCTTATGAATGCTGGCTGCATTGTTGCCCTTATAAAAATAAAACAAAATTTTTACTGATATCGCCCTGCTCCTATTGAAAATAATTGTCCGCTAAATTATTCAGTCTATTCAACCAACTCTACTTTTAAAGGGCATTAAAATAACATCGCATAAAAAGCTTAAATTTCACACAAGTGTAAAATAAACAGTTATATAACAGTTCAGGGTATTCAAAGCTGCTCCTCGAAAGATGAAAGCGCGGTGCCGCAGAGATCACTACTTTTTCAATGCATCTCGCATGAGCAATGAAAGTTTTAGAAGTTGAAAAATTTATAATGCAACCAATACTCTTTCATTCATGCAAGAAAACTTTCTGGCATTAACGAGCTCTAAGAACCTTCAGGATTTATTTATCTATTTCTCCATTCTCACCATGTTGAACTTCGAGTCGAACGAAATTTTTGTTCGGGATATCACACAATTTTAGACAATGCAATTCTGCCGGGTCCAAGCGATGAACTTCGAGGCAAGCGAAATTTTCGATCAGAACTGTCTTTCTGACCCTCGAAATATTTGTAGGCGCAAGACGCGGCCCCTCGCGAATCGACAATTCACTTTTTTTCCTAATTTGACCTGTTTGTTCCACCGAAACGACAAAAGTACCTGTCCATGGTGAAAATAAGTTGAATCTTACATGCCCGAAAGAAACGAGACAAGTAACAGATTTAGCTTTCCCTTTCAAAGTCCGTCCAAGGAACTTCGCTTCTCGGATCAATATACAAATGGAATTAGTCAGAAAATAGAGCACGTTCTATTCCTCTGTTGGGAATAAGGGGCAAGAAGTCTGCGGGGTTGCGGCTGTGTTCATCTCTCGCCGGCTTACGAGATACAAAGAATCCGTGGCTAGACGGCAGAATGCCAAGAATCGGACCAGGAGCACGACCTTACGTGAGCGCAGGAAGAAGCCTCCTTGGGATGTCCCTGGAATTTCATCTAATTTGAAAAAAGTACCATTAAGCCTAAAGAAAGTCTTGTTATATCTGAAGGGCTGATAGATGGAGGAAAAGGGCGGAAACGTTATTAGGACAATGCGTACAGCGCTTTCATTATGAGCTCCTTTTTCGGCAATTGCTGCTGGGAGTGAGAAAAATTTCTCGACAGTCTTAGTTTTGGATAGACAACATGTAGTCTTACGGTCGACGACGGAATCCTTTCATGGAAATGATTACAATTTCCGAGGGAAAAAGGCCTCGCCAAGACTTGATTCTGGCCTTTCTCAACGACTTAGCACAAGGAAAAATATTTCGACCTCTGCCTCGAATCCAATCTGTATCTGACTCCTCTGAGCGCGAAATATATTTTAAGAGATTTATTCCGTTTCTCTAGGTGTCCTTTTTGCCTCGAGATCATACAAGACAGAGGTGAAAAACCTACAAAATTCTTCGTGTATCGACAGAGCACACGGTCAAGCAAGTAAAGGCATCATCAGGAATTTGAACTCCATGCAGATGGAGTGGCTCCAACAGTTACCAAGCTGCATCGGCTACTCTCCTGTCTCTTCCCATCTCAGCTGCAGAGGCCAGAGGGCCGGGCGTGACGTGATCGAACGCTAATATCGGCAGTTTCATAATCACGTTTCGAAGCTTATTACTCATTCCATACCCAGGGCCGGTTTAACCCATAGGCTTAGGCTTAGGCCTTAAATATGAAGGCCCAAGGCCCTCATATTTTTCGGCCCTCCATTCCATACCTTTTTGTGCAATATGTAATTCATACTTAGGCCCCTCATAACCTTAATAGGGTCCTGTCCATACCGATGAAAATTCGGAGCTTGAGGCTAATTTCAATTATCTATTCAATTATACAGAAAAAATTGACAGAAAAAAAACAGCATTCACTCGTCTCCAGTGGTTTGTCAGTAATAACAGTTCTTGATACACTTAGTTTACATTTGACCACCGTGTACTGTACATGATAAACGAGCCACCGAGCTATGCAGTTGTCCTATAAAATAGCTTACATTACGAATATATAGTCAACCTATTCTGGCACATTTCATTCGCCTGATTGGGTGATTCCCCAAAAAGGCTGACCAAGCGATCGAAACCATCTCAATTGCATGTGTTCCTCATCAAGTCCCCATAAAGAATCGCCTCAAAAGGCCCTGAAATATGCTCCAATCCCTTGCAAGAAGAAGGGGTAAGCATTGCAATAAATAATGGAATACAAAAATTCAACATCAATACATCATCCCTCTGGAAGTTCATTCCACAAAAGAGAAGCATTTGAATACACAACCTGTAAGGAAGTCAAATTAGATCACAATGTTCTCTGTACAGTTCCATGATTTTCATGGTGAAAATAGGAAGTACGACCTGAATACTCACGAATTGAAAATATCAATCCTCAAAAAAAAAAAATTAGGTACAGAAACACTGTATGTGAACACTGGTATACTTCATGAGTGCTGTCTCCACTAACAAGAATTCAGAGATCAACATCAAACACCTACAAGTCCCAGGATGACTGACGAATTCCAGTATTAACTGGCCAACAGTAACAAGGGCAATGATGTGTAATAGAACTGTGCCTTCAGACACACCCTCACTTTGAAAGATTTCTTCAACATGGAAAAAAAAATGCAGAAAGAAAAGACCAAATTTGAAGACCAACACATCTCAACAATTTTCTGTCCCACACTATTTTGCCTCTCATGAGTCATGAGAGTCCTGCTCTCCATTTGGTTTTGAATGATCATTGCTACACTGAGCATCATAGACCCCATTGAAAGCATTCTTGAGATACTGCATCAACTGATGAATGGCATCTTTCCCAAGTGTTCCCTCCTTAAAAGCCATTTCAAGAACTATCTGCTGATCCCCTTTTCGCTTCACAAATACACTTGCCCTGAGGGCAGGAAGAGCCCCAGGATCTTCATCAGTTGACTTCAATCGGGCCTGCTTCTCATTCTCACAGTCTTCTGAATTCTCTCTCTTTCTCTTATTCCCATTACCATTTCCCAAACATTCAGTCCTTCCATCTGATGACAGATTTTGTCCAGATGTCGCTTCCTCCATTTGTCTCATACTACCAACACTATGTCCATTGCCAGAGTCTTTTTTCTGCTGGTGCTTCTCACGCCGCTGCCGGCGCTGATGAGCCCAAGTGTTATGTGCAGCCTTAATTTCTAGGCCAAGAATCCACCGGTTGCCTTTTTTTGTCTCCTTGAACTCAATCTACAATGAGAATCAGGAAAGTACATATGAAAAACAAAAACAGAATATTTCAAATTGAAATCTAACACCCTTAGATGTCACAAAATAAAGAAAAACCTACCTGAAGATTGTCAAAATGCTTCTGAAGGACAAGAGCTATGGCATCCACAGAGTAATGGTATTTGGTTGGCTGTCTAGGGATGTGCCATGAGAAGGGCTTCAATGTCTTTCCTTTTGGTCTTTGACATGTTGGCAGGGAACTGAGATTAATCTCAGAGTTCCATGACCATGCAAGCCCCCATCGCATTGTGTTCCCTTGGCAGAATTCAGTAGTTGCCACCTGAGGCACACCCAGTGTCTTCAGACGAGTCACAAGAATGGGCAGGTACTTCTTGTGACCCACCATGGATGTGAAAATTCTGAAAAGAGTGATTTCACACTTCTGGAGAATTATCTTCTGATATACACTAGAAAGACTGCTTAAGTGAAAAAAAAAGGAGCTAGATGAGGCAGAAGCCTGAAAATTTCTTTAAGTGCTATAATGATATATTCCCCAGCAGTCTTCAGGCTTGTCTGTTCTTGATGAAGTTACCCTAATTTGAAGTTTTACATATCATGACATGGATAGGGTCAGTAATATTATTTTTTTTTAGAAAGCTCTGAGCACCAAGTGTCCACATGAATTTTAAATTTATTTTAAATTGATATAATGATTTCTGTCATAAATTTTATTTTACTTTCAAATTAATGGCATTGAAAAGACTCTATATCACACTGGACCTTTACCCAGATTACTGCCTTATATGTCATGTTTGAAAAGTTCTTCCAATAAAAAAATCTGTTAATAGTTCCTAATTCCTTTGGAAAATATTGATATGTTACTGCTACTTGATTGCTTCCTTCAAATAGTTATCAGTAATTGGCTTATATTCACCAAGTCAGATAAGGATTCACCTCAATGGGTGAAGTGAAGATAGAAGCAAAGCCAAACTTCTGGTGAGGGGATTAGGATTATAGGACCAAGTTCATCACACAGGGTAGGGTGGTTGGAGTGGGGGGGGTTTGTAGAAGTACACTCACCATAAGGAGAGGGAGTTAACAAGGTCAGATTCAAGGCCTTATGCACCAGTGTAATGGTTAGTAATCTCATTACTTTTTTTTGACAAAAAAAAAGGAATCTGATTACTGGAAGTGATTACTCACAACAAAGGTAATCCAATAACAGTAATGCATGACTTTCCCAGCACTGCATACTTCACTATATATTTCTCCTTTCAACCCTTTGCACTCCACAGATACATCTCACATGACCAACAGCACAGTGATGGCCCATGGGTGAGTGCAAAGGGTTAATGAAGGATAGATAGACCCAAATATCATGCAAGCTAATTTTACTGAACAGAGAATCATTGTGGTTTGCGGGGTTGAAGTCAGTGACACAGGTGCAGTGCAAGTTCAGAACTGCTTAGAGCAAGGATCCTCTTGTTTGTGTTTAAAAAGACATAGGAAGTATCCTGAAAGAGAAGAACTAGGGTGGAATTCTCTACTGGCATGGCACACAGACCATCTTGGGCTACTCTTGAAGACTTCTTGTACATGTTCAACATTGGATGCTGATATTGAATGTATAGGGGAATTGGAAGATCCTTGCTGTAAACAGTTCTGAACTTGCATTGCACCTGAGTGACTGATTTCAACTCTGCAAAACGCAACACATACTAGCCTTCTCTAGTGGAGTCGCCCTCTCACTTCTGAGAAGCTGAAAAAATAGTTTTGACATTTGAAAAGGTTCAGGTTAGCATACATGTGTAGCACCCACATCACAGTATACTTGAATCATAGTCCAGATATAAACTACACAGAGGTATCAAGGACAGGCCAATCACATGGCAGGGAGTGGGAAGGAACATGTATCCAGAGTTCAATTTTCACTACAATATCACCAGAACTACAAAATCCTTTGACTCCCAAAAGTTTAATGTAGACCAGCAGAGCTGAATGTCATACCTGCCTTTCAAATCCCATTATATGCTTTTCTTTTTCTTTCCCTGGAAATAAATATTTTTTGCACATTTAATTTTCTGGGGGAAAAAGGGCGTGGGAAACTAGCTTGACATAAACTTGCCAACAAAAACATCAGTATAATATACCTTTCCAATAAAAAGCTGAGCATAGGAGGCAAGGAGACAGGAGAAAGGGTTTACCCAAACAGATCCCACCAAATCCCAGGGTAGTCTGGCCCTTTTTGGCTCCCATCTCACACATTCCCTATGACCCTGTCTTGTTCCCCTTCTCATTAGGACATAAATTTAATCAGAGAATGCCACGTGTATCTTCTTCAAATGCATTCCATACACAAAAGAGAATTTGGTTTCCTTTTGAGTCAAAGAAAGTGCATAAACTCAGTTACAAAGTATCTTACTTGAACTGGATGACAATTTACATCATTGCAGACCAATATAGCATAGGCCTACCCACAGCTAAATCTTAGGCCCAAACATAAGAAATATTGCAAAACTAGATAAGCAGGATCAGCAAACACCACCTTGATATAGACTGCTCCAAAACAATCCCAGCAGGAAGATTCATACATCCTTACTAAGAAAACAAGAGCATTCCCATCACATAAGCTTCCCTTGTACAAGCTAGACCAAGGGTGCCCAAAGTGCGGCCTGCGGGCCACATCTAGCACACAAAGTGCCTTAGAGAACATACACTTTTGGCACCCCTGAGCTTGACCAATATATGGAAATTTCTCCTCTTATTACACTAGATGAGATATCAGCTAAATTCCCATTCATTTAATGATGGATTCATGCTGCAGGCTATACAAAGCCATGAAAGCTAAATGACTCCACAATCACAAGTACAGTATACATACAGAGAGGCAACAAAAAATGTTTCACATTTCATTAACCTATATCTTCATTATTTATTAAGGTAGAAAATTAAACTACAGGGTGTTCCATAAGTCCCTTGGACACCCCCCTGCCCCCTTCTTTTTCTTGTTTCTGGTGAATTATGGTCAGGATTTGTGTATATATGAGTGACTGAGGCCCCTTTACACTAGAATAGCATTTAGTGACGAGTTTTTGGGTGCATTAGTGGCAAAAATTGGAAAAAAAAAGACATTTGTTTGCAAACTTTCGAACCTGATTTGGCAAAAATCCTTTACAAAATGTCTCATTGCACATGGCACCTCATCATTCTGGGTTCAAAAAACGAGGGCACTCATACTGTCCCCCTTGATCTTCAAATGATCCCCAGTTTCTCAAATGAGGGTTATTAAATGTCGATATGAATGTTGTTTCAAATGGCATGTTTTATTTTGCTGCCACTATTCTTCGCTATTTTTCACAATAAAAAAAAGGGGGTGTCAAGGGATTTATGTACATGTCATATAGATAAACTCAAAAAGTTTTCCATGTTGAAAAACTTGTTCAAACTGTTCATGGTTCCTTTGGATAATCCGCCTGTGACAAACAGCAGTGTTCTCAATAACTTTTGTGCAGTGACATGTGAGTTATGCCTCTGAGTGCTGTAACTGCAGAACATTTGAGTTCATGAATGATGTGTGGATTTATGGAGAGCACCTTTTCTTTAACCCTTCAAGCAGTTTCACGTACACTGTACACTTGTCACTGAGGAGGTCAGGTCAAAACTCAGTGCTTGAAGGGTTAAAGAAATCCCAAAAAAGCTATCAGTCTAAGATCAAAAGATCTTGCTGGCCACAATATGTGCCCTCTCATACTCATAACCCTTTCTCTTCAAACTTACCAATAATATTCTTAATTGTTAGATTTGATGGGGGTGTTCAATCAGGAAACCATCATTGAAATTCTCTCTTCACAGTTACAAGGTGAATGCATTTCAATAAATTGATGAATGATGAACACCCTTTGCTTTTTTTTTTCCTGATGGAATACCCCCATCAAATTAAGAACATCATTGATAAGTTTGAAGAGAAAGCATTACGAGCTATGAAGGGACATCTCATGGCCAGCAAGATCTCCTGATCTTAGACTGATAGTTTTTATGGGGTTTCCTTAAAGAAAAGGTGTTCACAAATCCACCCATTGATGAACTCAAATGTTCTGTGGTTGCAGTACTCAGAGGCAACTGCTGTATGTTACAGACAGATTACCCAAAGGAACAGTGAACAGTTTGAACATGTTTTTCAACATAAAAAAAAACTTTTTGAGTTAGTCTGTTAGATGAGATGTAATTTAATTTATACCTTAATAAATAGTGAAACTATAAGTTATTGAAGTGTGAAACATTTTTTGCTGCCAAAATGTAGTTTTTACAGGGTGTGACTATGTCAGATATTGTAGTTTTGTGGCTCTGAAAATGAATGGCACAAAATTGAAACAAATTCCCATGTCTTCAAGACAGGATTTGGAAATACATGCAGTCAATTTCAAAAGACCTAGATGCACTGCCAATTTAGTGCATTTAGTATAGGAATTTTTCCACAATTGGAAAAGTTCCCAACAGAGCCAATAGCCATATTCTCTTCTTTAATTTTTTTTCAGTCTATACTATACAGTCCAACAGGAATATAAGAAGTGTTAGAATTTTGAAAAAGCAATTGTGCAGCTTGTAGGCTAAAAAAAAAAATGAAATTATTGATTAATTTTTAAGGTTTCACAAAACTGAAACTTTTGTGCAGAACACAACTTCCAAAGACCTCTTAGGTACCGAGAGTTCAATCACAGCTTCATAATAAAAAAATTCCAGTGCATGGAAATGGTATTGTGCAATGGGATACAATGATTCAACCATTTTCCTGCATGGAGTCTAAAATTTCAAAAGTAAAAATTGATTATATTTGAACAATTGTACATATAAAGTAAAAACATAGCACACACTTGTGTTCAGGGGTCTGCACAAAAAATCACCAGTTAAATTCATTACATTGCAGATAACCATCCAGAATAAACCACAGTAAAACATGCAAAACAAAATTTTCACAATGCCATTTTGACATACAACTGCATGAATCCATGACTTCAGATTGAACTTCATCTTTCTCCATCCAATTCATCCTTATCTATCAAGTAGCAAAGTTTATATAAAATCAGCCTGATAGTTTCACCTGCATAAATGCATACAGAGCCAAAGTTTATCAACATAATAGTACTTCTATGGATTAGATTCAGAACTTTCTCCTTTACTTACTTAACTTGAAGTAGCAGAAAAAGTTCCCTGTTTCAGTAATTTAAAAATTCTGGGATCCTACATGTATAATTGTTGCATTTTGTAGAAGTAATAAGCCTACCTGACTTGATCTCGCAGCCGACTACTTTCATCAATCATGCGTCGCACAAACTCTTCCTCACCCCCATCTGTGAGCTTCTCTTCATTTGATCCAGTGCTAGCATTATGAGGTGGGGGTCGAGGTTTCAAGTGGATCTTCTCTTTCATACCCCCCTTCCCTTCCTTTCCTTGGCCTTCCTCTTCATGCATCTTCCCATAGAATGGGGGATTGCACATGGTAAAATCATAAACCACGTCTGAGGAAGTCAACGGTTCTTCCAAGATTGAACTGGGGCTCACTTTTCTCACTGAAAAGAAGAAGAATGTAGGCATTTCTTGCTATTCAAACCATCAAAACCAAATATAATATTCAAAAGAAGCTCTAAACCAGGAAGCAGGAAACAGATATGGTGAACAATTCAACTTATAAGCAATAGTAAAGCAAAGATATCCTTTGGGGGTAACAAAGATTGACAATGGCTTGTTGACCTGGTCATGCTAAGCAGCACTCAATTGATCTAACAATAAACCATCTTAATCCTTTCTCTGGCAGGGATATCTGAATGTTTCAAGAATGTCAACATAATGACACCAATGCCAGAGAAAGGGTTAACCAGTCATCAAAGGTTGCATTTGTTATGACAATTGGTGTGGCATAAGCCTACTCATCCTGAGCACCTTTCATGCTTATCATTTGCAATTTGATGGAGATGATTTGTATTAACAAAATGCTCCCATATCTATCCCATTCTCATGCAAACCAACTTTTATTAAACAAAAGAAATAGCTCCCAAAAATTCAAAATGTAATTCAAGAAATTACATTGTTTAAAATGGAAGAAAGTCCGTAAGAAAGCATTTAGTTGACTAATTACATTTAATTACACTTATCACCAAAAGATTGAGAGCCTAGTGGGTAGTTCCCAGGATGATACATATGGATGCTATATCTAAAAATCCTATTTACATTCTGAAGGATTGAGCTTAATTAGACTCCACTACCTTTGCTATCAAGGAATCAACTTTCCAGTGCTGATGTCATCATTAACAGTGACCATATAGTAACTCTCAAAGGCACTGGAAAGTCACCAGTGTCTCAAAGAGAAAAGTTATGAACTCCTAGATTAGTCAAACATAATCAGGCAATGAATGTCCAATTTCCAACCAATTTCCAACTATGACATGAGGATATCAACAAACACTTTCAGCAAAAATTTGTCATGTTGTGCCCTTCTCCCATATCTCTTGAAATCTAAAGCAAGCATTCCCTTCCCAGAGAGGGTCAGCAGTGTAAAGTGGCATTTTTCCTTAATGCAGAGTTCTTCGAAGGAGGATTGCCAGTAAGGCAATTCTTTCAGGTTAACCATAAAAAGTCCACCTTAATATTCACCTGCTGAATATTCTCTCACTCCTTATGGAGAGACTTCATTCTATTCCATCCTCCTGCAACTTATAACCTAGGCCTATGTTCCTATATATAAAGGTAATAAATTATGGACATCTTCAGGAAACCTTCTATAAGATTTTGCAGATCATTCTGTCGAACATTTATAATGGCGCAATCCACTGAGGTATCACATGTTTCTGTAGCCACAAATCTCCAGCCATTTTTCCTTGCACCAAGCAAAGCATAGATTGCAACAGCCCCAGTACCTAAGAGACAAGAAAAAATACATATAAAACAATAAAATAGCACTGCCATTCCTTGTCAAGACAGTTCTGAAGGCATGCAATGACTGCTCCAATATCTAGAACTCCATACAAGAAGTCCTAGATATTTTATTTTGCAGTGGTAATTAACTTACCAACATCAATACCAATGATTTCATCATTGTTCTTGGTATGAGCAGCATTCTCACAGCTCAGAAAAATATCTAGAAGGTCTTCAATCCATAGGATGTAATTCAGTCTGAGAGGGAGTGTAGGAACCAACTTGTCTGCTGGAATATCTACTTTCAGGTTGAAGTCCCTCAACAGCAAGCATCTTGTAAGAACTCTCAAGGTATTTGGATCCTTGAAATTCACAATCAGCTTTCCCTTCAGATCCTAGAAGCAAAAGAAAACCACAACTGTAGGAGAGAACAATGATGTAGCTTTGGCACATCATCCTTCACTTTTCATATACACCTACCCATTAACAGGCTAGCCTATTCTTCAGTATCATTGGTCATGAGCAAACTACCATACTACCATGTGCACTCAGTGATCTGGTACAACCTGGCAGTGGGCATATGGCAAAGATGACCCAGGTCATCTTTGCCATATGCCCACCCTACCTGGTAGGCCTAAGGCTATACAGGAGTGCAAGAAAATGAGGGAAGCCAGTCATGCACTAATGCTAATCCCCTCTTCCTGGTCCACATTCTGCCTCACCTTCATTTATCATTTCCTTATCATTCCTTCTTTCCCTCCTGAACCCATTACCTGCATGGTAAGAATTGTATATGCTAACTTAATGCAAGAAAAGGTATGTGGCAATATTAGAATAGGCTTCCAATCTGGAAGAAGCTGGAGAAGAGAAAAGGTCTTCTGATCATCTCACATTTGGCTTCTCCTGCCCAAAACCCCCATCTCCAATACTACAGCCACATATGGATGGATCATGTGTCATTGCCACAGAGAAAAGGAATGGAGGAATAAGGTATGTGCAAAGAGTGATGTACACACAACCAGTGTTTGAGGTGTGCATGAAACGTCAAAAATTTCCCCATTTCCTTGCATCGATGTGAGCATGCACCTCCCCTCTGTCAATCACACATGTGAATCATGTTTTGGGTAAACTTCCAACCCTAGGCATCCAACCCTACTAAAGCTTGCTTAACTCAACTCAGGTCGTCTATACACTAATTTATTTATCCACTTCCCAACTTTGAAGCAAGGGCACTGGACCGAGTAAATGGAATTCCATGGAAAAGCACTAACTTGCATGTTGTGACGATTAGGCCTACGTTTGACTGTGCTATGCCAGCCTGATTTTGCATTTTTGAACCACTTACATAGCTGGTCAGCGCCTTAAATTCTTCATATTGCTCAGAGAGCTTCTTAAAGTCCGGAGGATCCTTGTAGATGTTCCTAGGATGCATGAACTTATTGAATGACATTTTTGTTACTGAGGAAGCACGCGGATAGCAAACCGTCCGGAAATCGTACCGTGAGCATGGCAAAGCTGCTTGCCGTCTGCTATAAGAGAACGCTGCCTGATTGGCTCATATAATTCCTGCGCACACTTCTCTCATTGGTCGTTGTTTTGTAGGTTGCTAACCTGCTTTTTTGCTCCTCTGGATCTTGAAGAACCATCCGGATGTTTGTAAAATAGGTGTCGCTGAATGGATAATTTAAGTGAATAAAAGTAAAAAGGGCTCGCTGGAGTCGGGTACCAATAATAGTACCTGGCTTTGGGAATATTATCATGTCTCCGAATCTTCCAAGCCCCGATGACAATCAGGTGCGCACCAACACTATAAGATTTACGATTCAATACATAATTGCACTTTTCATTCCAGAAAATCTCTGGTTCATCTGATCTCGATCAAACTACGCCTCCTTCTCATATATGGACACACTCGTCCCATCGCTTTGGCAACTCCTGGATGCCTGAGGCATTGAAGATTTTCGATCGAATGCGCAGCCACTTCAACACTTCTTTGAGTTGCTTCTCCGTCTTGAACTTTTTGCCTCCTTGAAGGGACCGAATAGATGAAAAGCACATGGCAAGAGATCGCGGCTGCTGGGAGAATCGTCCGTCGTTTCCCATCTCGTCGCAGTCGTCACATGTGCCGTGTACGAACGGACACTGTCGTGCAGCAGACGTCGTCGGTTGCACAGTGCTGCTCAGACTTCGCGGAGGAGATCAGAGTAGAACTGCACGTTGATTGTTTTACCCCGATCAAGGAAGCCGACTTGGATCAGTCCCCTGGCGTCCCAAAAGTCGATCAGTTCCCAGCCCCGACTGCGACCAAGACTTTCCCAGCAAACGACTGAGCCCTGAATTGCTTCAGTGGAGGCGATTCGGAAAGTCGCCATTGCAGCTTGAGCGCTTTGATTGCGATGTAAAGTGACGAATTCACGTTTCATCACAGTTGTAGTGCTTGAATGGTCTGACGCTACGGTCAGCCTTCTGGTTCTCATGGCAACCATATCGCAGTCACCTTATTAAACTTCAAGTAAGCGGGGAAAATATTTTCGACACTGCCCATGCTATTTAGTTCCGCAGAACTAAACAGTAGCAGCAGCTAGTGGAATAAATGAGTGGAACCCTCATATATCAAATACGAGTTTTATTGAATGGATTCAGTTGTTCTGTGTACACCACAGAGCACCATATGGCAGATCCAGCACTGAGAGAGATTCGAGCATCTCACTTAGTCGGTCAAAGTCAGCAATCACAGAGAAACAAAGGCAGACAATCATGAACATCCTCATAGTCAGGTTTTCTTGGTTAAGAAAAATCAAAAGATGCTTCCATATCCTTGGCTATAAATCTTTTGCCTATGTAAATCAAGTGGTGAGATTATCCTGAGTAAATGCAGTTGGGCAGTAGATGAGATTACAAAACGAAAGGCGAGGCACAAATTACAACCACGATAAACTCAAAATCTGACCAGTTCATCCAATGAATGATACTCATTTTCTCCAAAGTCCACTTTGTACTGGAATCCCAAATAGGCGACTTCTGAGCTTCAAAAGAAAAACAAGAAGACTGACATACACAGAGGAGAAAAATGCAGACGAGTCCTGAGCAAGACCAAGAGATTCGGATGAGAAGACAGGACATGAACAGTAACAGTATTAATAAGTTAAGGACACAAAGAGTGAAGACAAGATTGAAGTCAAACAGAAGAGGTCTCTGAGCCTATATGGCACATGTGGATTTTTCTTTTCCTTCTTATTCACTGACCTCATGGCAAAACGAGGGAGGCTCGAGTATCACAATGGCCCGCATCTGCTGCTCTATCACAGACGCTCAGTTGCTTTTTTTTTTTTAGTCAAGTGCGGCTGCAGGCCACCGGGGGACTCAGAATCCAGGAAATGAGTATTTCCTCAGGAACAAAGGGTGGATGTGCCTCGTGCACTTTCAGAGATTCGTTTTGAATGAAATCTTGAACCTCCATTAATTTACACATCCAATTCAGGACGACAACTAGTATGACAAAGTTCAATTACGAAGAAATATCAATTTTCAAAAACTATTAATACAATTTCCAGCTCTACGACAGTTCAACACTTAAAGTTAAACAAAAACTTGAAAGTCTGTGTAAAAAAAAAAAAAAAAAAAAATTCCTCCGAAACAAGAAAAAGACAACAAAAAATGAGCAGAAAGTAGGATGAATGGATAGCGAGCCCCCAAAAGTCCTAGCCTGCTTCCCTCCAATGCTCTAGTGTCATCTGAACACATGGCACACGTACTGTGCGTCTTGGGGTCTCTATTTTCTTTTTCCTTGGTCGAATCAATGCAGAGCCCATAAAAATCACTTGGATCACAAGGCGGCATCTCCTTGATGGTAATTGTACTTATGGTCATAGCCATTTAGGGGCTCTCGTTCCACTTCCGGTCCCATCCCGGGGGATTCCTTCGGCCTCTTCCTCTTGAAGAAACCCAACTGAAACGAAAACACGACAGAATTAGCGAGTTGTACAAATTAATCTAATCTAATCTAATCTACATTGCTAATCATCTTTCATATCTAACAATCTAATATTCCAAAATATTTCGCACAGGTGTTCAGATGTTCCGCCCACACGAATGATGATTTAGAAACTGTCATGTCATCATTGATTGTTGGAGGCCAGTGGTGGCTCGTGATATTTAACAGTCGTGGATCGTCAATAGAGGCAGGGGAGGCCTCCATTCACGGTCTGAATCCACTGACTGCTGAATATCACGAGCAACCAATGACATGATAGATGATACGATAGTTTCTTTACCCATCAAGATGGTCCTACCACCCCAATCACGCACGAAAGATGACGTTCAGGTCGATAGAACGATGCTTTCATTGTTGTTATCGTGGCAGCCTAAAAAAAATATTGAACATGCCTTCCCAATAGGTCATTTGAAAAGGTATTTCATATTAAAATTCTTCGGTCTTTACCTACATGTCACATTTGGCATCGGCACCAGCAGCGGTCGATAGGTAAATTTATGAGATCAAAATCGGCCATCGGCCCATCTGCCAAATGTGACGACCGGTACAACCCTAGTTTTATCCCCTTCACGATGCAACATCGTTGCAACATTCACATGACGCTTAAACGTTGACTTTTCAAATGTGAAATTCATTACCATGAATTTCACAAGTGCAAAGACTCTGGTTGCACAACGGTGCACTCTGGTGCACAACGAGTGCAAAGACTCTGGTTCCTTGATGTCTGTCGAGGTGCCAGTGACCTGTATATGAGGGTGGCCGCTTCCAAATTTCGGCTAACATATTGGTGGAGAATGCTGTGGTCTCTAATCGCATAGTCAACTGTAAAAGCAGTCTCTGAGTATCGAAGGCAGAATCTTTTTGTTGGATCTCCATCCAGATACATTCACATTCTGTAGATACGTATTTCTCTTTATCGCGAAACACATTTCAAGAGGTATCTTTAATCTTATCCAGAGTAATCTCACAAAACAAAGCAAAGACGATTTAACCAAGATGAGAGGTGCAGATCATATGCTTTGGCAGGTAGTTGACGATCGTGGAGCGTGGATAGAACGTGAACATATTCCGCCGTCGATGCAGAATGAAGGCAAAACAGTCCATGATTTTTAAATTAAAAAGTTCAGATTCTGAGCGCCGTGGGAGTAGGAGTGTAGGCGAAGCAAAGTACTTGTCCAGATAGCAGGCCGCCCGCAAAATTATACATAGATATATGGAAATCACGTATATACCTATGCATAATTTTCTCTAACAGGTGTCACCGAAATCCGCCCAACTATTTTGAAGCATACCATTATTCTACTCAAAGCATCCATACCTTGTATAGGAGGAGGATGAGGAGTGCGAGGAGAAGGAGGCCACCAAAGACGGCAAGGACGTAGATCCACCAGGCCACGGGGCGATCCCCGAATCGCTCATCTTCCGGGTTGATCACCGACCTCGCCTGGGTTACCTTGTACCCAAGGTAGCCTGGGTCCACCCGGTGGGGTAACGACGTCACCCGAGACACCATCTTGGACAAGATCGCCACGTCTGCGTAGCCCAGCTGAATCGAAAAAGGAGGGAGATATCACTTGAGCATGGAGGGCTATTGTATTTCCGTTTAAATCATTATTTCCATTCCCCGTGGCGAAACGGAGAATAGAGGCGAATCGATTAAGTAAGATTATTTTAGGCGCTGGATTGTCAGAGCAGCCTTTTATGCAGAATCCTAAGAATTAAACTGCGTGGGTCTCCTGGGATCTGATAGGAAAACGGTATCCCTGCTTCTCAACTCTTTAGCAGTCTTTTCCACAGTGAACCGGTGGCACCCGTGGAAAGACAGACATTGCCAAGCACTCGCAGACCGCCTAGGACACGCATGAACTTTTTTTTAAAGCTACATTCTACCTTTTTCGAGTGCAGAACTGCATCAAACAAGTTGAGGCTTGACTGAATGATTGAACTTTTGCATGTAATTATGAATAAGGAGGCAGAGAAATCGACGACATGGGATTAAACTTCGGCAAAGAATTTCCCCCCATTGAATCTAAGATCTTGTTAGCATACGACAAAGGACCTGACTTTCTGGACCCCTGTAATGATGATGGTATGCTCGTGCATGCATTTGAGTGCGTGTCATTGTGCAAGCATGTAATTGGGATTAAGAAAGGGAGATCAAAGACCCAGGAGATGGGGATGACAAATAATGTCGAGACAGGGTCTATGATTATGATATTATTAGATGGGTCGTGAACGAGCCCAGTGATGAATTGCTCCGACCCGACACTCCGCCCACCCCATACATCTCTCTTCTATAGGCCGGCCGACTTTCCTCGATGGGAGTTCGTCTCCGCTATGCTCTTTCATGAACGAGGCTCCTTTCTTTCGGGAACAAATGGGGGCTCCTGATGCAATCGTGGGGTGACTGTGTTTGCCTGTCGGCGTTTATTTTGATAAATATTTCATCCGTTGACCGAGTTTCAGTATCACAAAAAGAAGCTGAAATTTTGAATACTTCTCGTAGAGGCACAAAGGGGCACGTTTAGCTACGTTCAGTGTTTACAATCAGTGGTCCACTACCGTTCCTTTCCCAACGAAGGAACCGAGCGCAGCAGGAAACGAAGACATGTAGACCTTCTGCTGTACAATGGCGACGCCTACACATGCGAAAAACATCTGTGTTCCAAATCAGGGGTGAATGGTCAACGGAATGCTCGTGGACCGGGTGTTTTCGTGCCATCCCCTCACAAAGATGTTCTTCGAGGTCAAAATAACGACCATGGAACCATTGAGGATATTCTTTCTAGAACAGCAACTGTCACGTGAGCGAAGCAATCCGCCGCTCTCCACAATCCACAAGCAATCCACAAGCATCACCAAACGCGCACACTGGATCAGGGACATCTCAACCAAGCATATTCGGTGGTCCTCTCACCACACCATGACGTAACAGGGATAACAAGGGATGAAACGTAACAGAACAAATAAATTCATCGTTACAGATCAACAAAACCCGTAACGATTGGTTATACTGGTCCAAAACCAGAAAATAGCATCACGAGGATTTAAGCAAGGTTGTAACGATGGACGAATTCATTCGTCCCCCTTCGTTCCCCATGGACTGGGGATAAGAGACATGAATGAAAGTTGCATCGATCGAACAGAAGGATTCTCGATCTGGGCCTGGGAGACAGGAAGGAATCCTTCATGAAAATGGGTCTCCCTAGGGGGTCATCACTGTCTTATACCACCATATTATTACTATCTATTATAGGTCAATGAATTGCTTATGTCTACAGAGAAGCACACAACACAGTATTTTAAACTCTTCTTTGCAGAGCAGGCCTGAGACTCCTCCAGAGTACGAGTCTGCTGAACTCATTTTGTATCTTTTTTTTATTCTTTTCAACTTGCCATGACGCTGAAGCAGGAAAAAAATTCCAAAGAAAAACTAATGAGTCCTCTTTTTATATAACGAACAGGAAAGACACGATGCACTTTGCGACATATGAATTCATTACAGGAGTCTTAAGTACCAACAATAGTCCAGTGTTTCCTGGAGATATTTTTGGAAGGAAGGGCGCAGAACCATCATCCTACCTAGAGGCCTCCTAATGTACAACTTGCTATTTGCCAGAGGCTTTGCGTCTACTTGAAGAAATTGAAGTGTCGAATTTTTAAACGGGGAATCAACATGAGAGCGCACATTGAAATCCCCCAAACAATCAACAATCGACGGAATGATTACCTGAAGTACGGGAACTATTAAGAAATGCTGGGGTCTTCCGTAATCTTCGTGGTCCATCACTTCATCATCTCGAACGCAGAAGTGAAGCTAGTTTCAGCGTCAACATAAAATATGAGTATCGATAGAGACTTCAAGTTTAAACATGCTAGAAAATCGCGCTAATTTTCACAATGCTATAAGGAAAAATTGTACGCGCAAGGTAGAGTTTAATAATCGATTTCATCATCGTCATCAGAATCCCAGAGAATGGGAAGAGCGAGAGGATGAAAGGAATCAATATCAAGGTGATCCACTTCCAAAATCGTCTGTTCGACCGCCTGAAAATGGTAAAGATCATTGAGGCTGATGAGGCTGATTCAAGTGAGCCTTTGCATATACTTTGGGGCAGAGGCATTTTATACTCTCTGCACATCCCGATGTCCAGAGGTTGTGTTCTTCTTTGCTACATACCCCTTCATATTTGCCAGGAGTTCGACTGAATTCAATATGCGGTGGCAAATGTGGAGCCTGAAAGAGGCTGGGTCGTTTCTCCCGGGGATGACATTTGGTACTATTCCGTCAGGGGCATACAAGATGTTTCCACAACGCAGATGTGTCCAACTCGCTCATGATTATCATAAAGCCTACTTTCCAGCATTTCAAAGATAAGATTAAGCATCACTGTCATCGATATCCATCGTACGAGGTTTTCTAAGCATCTCGCCAACAGCGATCTTCATTTCGAACAATTGAAACTGAATTACAGCAAGTGGGAGCAAAATGATTGGGTGCGACTGTGTTGTGCTTCCGATATGCACCGATTCGGGTGAAGCAAACACGTAGGTCTTCCCTGCGCCCCTAATTGTATAACTTTTGGTAAAGAAGAGAGAGGACTCACGGAGCTGAGCGTGGAGATCCAAAGTCGACTGTTCAAGGTCAGGATGAATTTCTCGCCTTGAGCCAGGGGGCCCACGGTGCACTTGATGATGGTGCACTTGGTGCGCCCATGCTCGCAGTCCTTCACCTCTTTCTCGTATTGGGGCATCCACATATATTCAGGCTGCGCTTTCCGTCTAAACAAAACATATCCCATTTCAATCTCAACATGATACAAAATGAAAGTTAAAAGAAAGCATTACGTTCACGTGCAATGAAATTACAATTTAACATACAAAATCAGTAATATATATTTTTTATACCATAAAAATAAGCACAATAAAGAAATACAAAGTTTAAATATCAAATTTAAAATATAGTTTAGACCTATTATAATAAACGTAATTTTTAGAATTGAGTGAAAAATAAAATAAATTGCAGAGCACAGGAGATAAGAAAGAGCAGAGATAGTATTAGAAGATCCATTCGAACAGCGTGTTTGCAGATCGCGTCGTGAATTATTCATGTTTCCAAACTCGAAGTCTATTGACCTGCATAATGGAACATTGAGAATAAGGGCTCATGTTGACGGTAGAGAGAAGAGAATAGTACAACTAGGAAAAGAGAGCAGGAAGGAAGAATCTTTCTTCATACTTTTGCCTGAGTTCGTTGTTGGATGAAGGTTTCTCGGGCGGTATGGCATTCCTCCTCTGCTCCTTCTGCTTCACCGGCTCCTAGAACAAGTTCAGTGCCATTTTGGTATTCAGGAACTGAGGTTTGCCTGTCAGCGCCGTTAAAATACCCCAAAGCAGAGAATATAAAGACTTACATGGAGGTTGAGGGGGTTGACATCAGCGACTTTTTCGCAGAATCCTGACCCCTCCGTTTTCGGCTGCTCCACCAGGTACAAAAGATAATCGCCTACATAATAAATAAAAAATAATTTAACCCACTTAATCATAGACTGTGGAAGCAACGAAATCAGCTTCTAAGCTTTTATTGGTTGTAATTACCGGAATCGGCCCAAGTAGGCCACAGTACGTAAGCCTCGGCCTCGGATATCCCTGAGGGTCCTTTATTTTCAAGGAAGTATCGATGGGTGACCTCAGGTCCGATATCCGACAACACAGCGTGATCCTTCAGCTTGAAGTCGCTTCGGTTGTACCTCAACGTCTCCGGAATCGTCACCCTAAACATGATTCGTTTCAGTGTTAAAAAAGTACAAGTTGTCACGTGACGAAGTCCTTCAAACGAGTTGCTTCATGGGCAATTTTATGTTACTGGAGAAAATCCCAATGAGTTAATAATTGAACCGCCAAGTTTTTTATTATTAGGAGACTCGTTTTCGGGAATGGGTGACTTGAATTACTTCGGAATGCGTTAGAATGCGTTAGAATGTGATTCAATTTTTAATCACTTTTTCATGAAATAGTGTATAAAATAACTCAGGTCCTTTCTCATAACAAGATATTCTGGAGGGATGGATTCGGAAAGATGGACAGGGCTGACGGACAGGGAGATCCCCCGCTCTAGCTTATTATAAAACTGGCCTTCCCATGTCTAAGGCATGAACTTCTGCCATCATTATCGGCTTTGAAATTACCTGGATATGTAAGATGCTTGTGCAAAGAAATTTACGCGAACTCACAGGCATTTCACGACATCATGCAATCATCAAAAAGTATCTCAGTACGAGTATGCCATACTTCGACTCAAATACATTTCTTTTGAAATACATATGTTACATATCAAATACATACGTTATTCAACATTAAATACCTGCAACCTGAGGGGAAGAGTCAGGGAGACAATATACCCTGTCTCAGTAGATTAGTGGCCATTATAGAGCTGTATTTCCAAAAGATTCACTGTCTTTTGAGGAGTGTCAGGGCACCCATTCTATTTTAAGCTTCACAGTAAATAGTGTCGACTTAGCCTATATAGCTGCAGGGAAAAATCGCATAATGTATGCCTTTCCAGAGAATCAAGTCGGCATGTCGACGAATGATTAGTGCAAGATAATGTATAAGACCACGTGAATGTGATGCCGTTCATAATTTCTTCTTTGGCATGAAAGCAGCATATAAAATCAAATTATGTATCAAGAGTGCAACGATCAACCGTAACTGTACGAGACAAGGAAACTCAGTCGCAAAAAAAAATTACTGAGACTTGCCTTATCCTGCCTAACTCAATTCGATCCTAGCAGTGTATCTCGCAATCATTTTCAGGAGTTTCGTAAGACCGATTCAAATTAGGGGTACCCCGCGTCCTCGTGGTAGGAGTGAGTGGATTCGAGCACCTCCAGTAATTCCTTTCTACTTCCAGTCACTCTCCGATGAAACGACATAGCCAAGCCGTTGATTAGACTCAGGGACTTCCTAGTTGTGAGACTTTCGGTCGTTAACCTCACCTTTTCGAGAATTTCATCGCTTGTGCATTCAATTCGAAATAGGCTCGAGACGGAGATGGAGACGATCAGCTTCCTGGCCTTGAATAAGCAAGGATATGTGAGCGAAGCCACAACTCCCCCTGATATACATCTACAGGAGGCAGATTGATGGTATCTATCGGACGGAAATCGAGTTCCTGTTTTTGTGTCCTGCTGTTTTTCAGGCCAGTTTCTCCATGAGAAATCTGTCTTGACTGCAGGATCAAAATAGCCATTCGAGTGACATTCAGGCCTATTGGATTCTGAAACTTCTTGAACGTCTGATGCCTCCGTGTTATATAACTGATCTCTTCGTCAGGCACTCTTTACATCCCTTTCTCTCGAGATAGGCCAGAATTTCAGTCTCAAGGCTATCATCTACCTGTGTACAGTCGCATCTAACCGACATCGTGAAAAGTCACACGCCGTTGCAACATCAGGTAACTGATAGCAGCGATAAGATTCATTCATAATGTATTTGGCTCGATAATGCTTAAATGAAAAAAGATTCCTTCTATCAAACCCTTCCAACATTTGTTTGGCAATGAGCACGCCTCCCCTCTTGCTGGCATTTTTTTTTTGCCTAGAGCAAAAGTGACGTTAATTCCTGACCGATATTGGAAGGCCTGCTGACCATTGATGGGATTCGGGAAAGTGTGAAATATGGGAGCAGGATTAATTACATCTTCTTACTTCAGCATTCTGGTCTTTCAGTGCCAGGAGGCCAGGGAGGCGTTACTTATTTTTTACTTCCATTCAGGTACATGAAGATGGGGAGATTGAAACTGTTTCTTCCTCCCCCCCCCTCCTCCCCTCATCAGGGCTTCTTTGCCGACCAATGGTTTCCGCAGAATATCTCTAAAGGTTCAACGGAAAATTACGAAATTATCCATCTGTAGTTGTCCCAATCTGATTTTGGGATCCTTCATACGGTTTTCTCATTACTAAGGAGGCAAAGAATCGATCCTCGAAAGGATTACATCGGTGATGTCGCTGCAATCTTAGGTTACACATGCGATTTCTTACGTCCCTGAATCAACGAAGACCAGAAATGGCTAGTGGCTTCTTCTCTGTTTTCTCACCCTCAGTTCAGAAACATCCGTCAGGCAAACGGATGCATATCATTAATAGAATAGACATGGAGACATACCCAGAGAGGATGAGATCCGTTTCGACCTGGATGTCGACAGAGATAGTCTGGGAGTTGTCATTCGTAGATCCTTCTTCCTCGGGATTAGTGGAATTCACCTCTAATTGGAACTTGAGAGCCTTCAACGTACTCTCCTCGTCTTCCTTCAACGCTTGCGGCTGCAGCGTCACCTTAAACGCCACCTAGTCACAAGGAAAGGTTTAGATGGTTAACTTCACCTTGAAATCTTGGTTATGCACATACAGAATGGACGAATAAACTATTCTTATGTTCCTTAATTTTCTTGCAGCTCTATGAAGCATTCCAAGGAATATTGCTTAAATGTTTTTTTTTTTTCTGCGCGACTCTCCTCCAATTTTCTGTAAGCCATACAAGTAAAAGAATAAATTCATATGTAAAGATAATGTGGGGCATAATGTGCACCTTTCCATTTGTTGGGAGAGGGTTTCCAATGTCGCACTTGAGGAGTCGCTTTTCGGGGGTGCAGAGGACGAGGATGGGGGAAGTGTGAGATAGGGATTTCGTTGCCCGAACGAAGGAAACTCCCGGAGGTAGGTGCAAATACGTCATCGCCTCGTAGGCATCTTCACCTCCGTTCTTCACCATCACCTCCAGCTCCAGTGTCTCCTGACTCCCCAGCAGGAAGGTTTTCCGATTCCTATTCGATCCCATATATCCATCTCATTTCATTTATATTTTCATTTTCGGCACATTGAAGCCACGGTTTCGATGGTTCGGGGAAAAGTAGAGACTTTGGCTGCAAGCATAGTGCTTTCGCAACTCTATTATTTGACTTTTTTTTTTAACAACTACAGCCTATTTCCTTTGAAGGAAGTCCACTGGCAAGACAAGGAACTGAAATGACGACAGAAAATAGGAGGCATACGTACAGGTTGGATGTGACCTGGAGATCAGGAATGCAGATGTTGTCGGTTCCGCAGTTTTTCTGTATGGACAGCTGATCTGTGACAGAGGTGACAAGTCCCAGGATTGGTTTCAGATCACGAGTTTCCCTCACTCCACGCAATGTGTACGAGATTTCGCCCACCAACGGCGTTAGCTTGTCTCGCACTGTTGTCTATTCATAAAAAGAAAAAGATCTCTCAGCACACCCATCCCGAGACAGGAATAATCCCATCAACTTATTCGATGGATCAATCGTACTGCAACACGTTTGTTAATTCGAGTTCTCAAACCAATTCCTCAAGTTCATTTCTGGTGACTTCATGGAAAACTTTTTATTCACTGACTCCATTATTTAGTTAGTTTTTTTTTTTTTAAATTCCCTCTATTCGTTAGTTTTGAACATTTCTGTGCTTTTCAAACCCTACGTATAAAATTCGTATCATTATTATCACTCTGTTTTATTATCGAATATTTAATTATTCAAATTATTTTTCTTCGTTTTACTTTTTACTACCACTCTTTCCGCTCTTCTGCGTAGACACTGAGAAGAAACCGTACATCGACATAGGCAGTGCCATTTTGACACCGTCTCTGCCCCTTCCAGAGGTCAATGGTGACATTCTTCGCATTATGCCTCTCTCGATCCAGGAAAAACAGCCGAGGGTTCCGCGACTTCAGAGCATCCAGTTTCTCCTGCACTTCCAACGCTGCATGAACGAGACATCAATGAGTCAGATAACTTGGAATGAAGTCAATGAGGAGTTCCAGACATCACTACTTTCATTATTGAAAAATTTCCAAGTCACATTCTGAGCTTCAGTTTGAATCTATTGAAAGTTCGAAGACGATTAAATTTTTAGGAGAAGACTCTGGAAAATATTTTTGCTATCGAGAATTCCAGTAATGACCAGGAGGCATGGAGGTGATCACGTGGCAGCAGACTGGAGGCAGCGAGTGATGAGGCGAGGGCCTGGAAATTCTAGCGCTGAATAAATGGTCAAGGATCTAGCACATAATTCAAGTAATTTTAGATGTAGTCTTATCTCAGGCACTTTCCATCCAGGGATCACAACTGACTGAATTTTTCTTCTTTCACCAATGTTTGCCGAGTCGTGTCCAAGTTTTCACTTTTTTTCCGCGAGCCGTTGTGCGTTTCTTTCTCTCCCACAATGACATAGGAAGATCCACGCGATGCCTGCATATGTAGTTCCAAGGCGGTACTTACTGACGATATAATTGACGGGGTCCCCTATGTCCGAATAGGCGAGGCAGTATTGATAGGTGACGCAGGGAACATTAATCCCACTCCTCGGTAGAACGCATCTCCGAGTCTCCAGGTCGATCATTTTCAAGTTCGCGTTGAATTCCATGAATCCGGTGATATTCACGATCGGTCGAGCCCTGCAATCATCGACCATGACAGAAAATACCATGAGAAAAGAGAATGAGAATCAAATGGATGCAGGCATGAAATTATATATTGACTTGGGTTCTCTTTGCATTTCTCCTCCACTAGACAAAATTTGCTGAAAAGCAATTCCTGTAAATACACTAATAATTTTTTTTTATAACAGAGATATACTGTATAATCACGAGGGAAGCCAGGAAGCCCATAGAGCATAGCAGACATAATGAAGAACGAGAAACGTGGTTTTCTATTTTAATAAATCCTTTTCAATGCAGCAAAAGGATAAACTTAATTTTAGACTAAAGCAAAAACGTTACGCATAAAATACGTAATTTTGAGAAACACGCATCAAAGCATGACCAAAGGTGAAGCGGAAAGAATCTGTATTTAATTTTGACTAATAAACTTAGCATCATTCGAAAAGCCTTTCTATAGGAAGATGAAATGTATCATATCTCAAGTCTATCAACATCGCATGCCATATCGTGAGTAATTTCTGCTGCTGCTGCAGAAATTCTTATGAATGTAAAAAACTTTTTATTCTGAAAGATTCCAGGATATAGCATAATGAAGTCAATGAAACGAGATGATGTTAATCGTGAGCCTTTCGTAAATCATACGAAAAAAGCATTAAATATGGTAAGTTTGGTACTTAGAAAGTCTCAATTTCTTGAAAACAAAGCGCAAAAATAGTTACCATAATCCGTATATTATGGTAAAGTGGTATCGGAGCAATGAGAGTAAAAACCTGAGATAGGCGATGGCATCGGAATTGACGGCGCCGATGAGGAGATCCGGGTAATGGTTACCATCCATGTCCATTCCCCCCGATAAGGAGAAACCGAATCCTCTCAATTCTCCTGGCATTTTCCCAGCTTCTATTTTCTGTAGGCAGTAATGAGATCGATGTATTCACTTTATTCATGTTTCTGCTTAAATTCTATTTAATTTTGTTATGACAATGTCATTTACCGTATTCCTAAAAGGGAATAAGTGTTATGCTATCGTAACTGATAAGAATACAATTTTATGTACAGGGTGATAAAAAAGTTCGTAACTTTTTTTGCAACCTTTAATAATATAGTTTAACAAGCTCATGGGAAAATCCCAAATTGACAAAAGCGAAGCTCAAACACTAGTTTTCGCAAATAAATCCCATATTCTCAAAATATCCGCCATTAGCATTTATGCGAGCCTTTGAACGTTTTGGGAAGTTATAGCCAATTTTACACAAAGTTTCAGTCGAAATTTCATTCCATGCTGCTTGGAGAGCACGTTCAAGAGAGTTCAAACTTTTGTGAGATTTTGAAAAGGCTCTGGACTCCAAAATACCCCAAAAGGAAAAGTCGATTGAGTTGAGATCAGGCGAATATGGAGACCAATCCGTGGAAGAGATGAAATTTTGAAAATGGTCTTGACACCACTGCTGGTCGAGTTGTTAGCCGATCACAGAAACTGCTTTCAGTTATGGTCTGGGTAGGAGTAACCTCAACCGGTAAAACACCATTGGTTTTCATCGATGAAGGTGCTTAAGTGAATCAAAAAGTGTATAAATCACAAATCCTTGAGGGGGTCGTGCTTCCGTGGACTCAATAACAATTTGCAGATCAATTTTGGACATCCCAGCAAGATTCTTCTCAAGTTCATGCGGCAAATCTGACTGAGCAGTGGTGTCAATACCATTTTCAAAATTTCATCTCTTCCAAGGATTGACCTCCATATTCGCCTAATCTCAACCCAATGGACTTTTCCGTGTGGGGTATTTTGGAGTCCAGAGCCTGTTCAAAATCTCACAAAAGTTTGAACTCTTGAACGTGCTCTCCAAGCAGCATGGAATGAAATTTCAGCTGAAAGCTTGTGTAAAATTGTCGATAACTTCCCAAAACGTTTAAAGGCTTCCATAGATGCTAATGGCGGATATTTTGGGAATGTGTGATTTGTTTGCAAAAACTAGTATTTGAGCTCCGTTTTTGTCAATTTTGGATTTTTCCATGAGCTTGTTAAATTATTGATAAATAAATATTGTTAAATAAAGGTTTCGAAAAATTTACGAACTTTTGTGTCACCCTGTATAGTTAGTAACATTATACAGTATTCGAAATCTTACTTTCAAGAATTTTCTATATTTTACTCTATTTCTCGCCTCGGGTAATTTGTTTCTGTCTCAGTGACGTACGTCGAGATGGAAGTTGGAGAGTAGACTACCTGTGAGGGTTCCTTGATGACGCCGTTGGAGGATCCCCGGAAGATGTAGACCATACCACGTCCGTCTTCCCCGCCGTATGGAGCCCCTACTGCGAAATCTGGAATATTCGCATTTGTTATCTATTCGTACTGCTGAGGGAGATATTCACGTTATTCATAAAAGTCAAAACAACCAGCCTTTATTATATTCTGATGCAGGCGAAGCGTGAATTTATTTTGCCATTTCACCATGGAATATCGTAACAAGTCAGCCAAATCTTTTGCTGAATCTAGGTGCAGAATTACAGGAGAAATCTCTTGTAAGTTCAGATCGAAGCACGATACAATACTGATAATTACTATGTTTCATAGAAATTTTACCAAAGTGGCTCCGAAGCTCTTAAGCGATTAAGAAATCCGAGTTTCACATTACCTTGAATAAGGATATTTAGGCTTCTGCAATGAAAAAAAAAATATTTACGTCATGTAGATAAGTACGTTGGGGTTCAATTCTGCACAAATCAAGAGCCTTCTCAATCAATATTTTTCCCACTTGTTATGGTTTGAAGAGGGATTCACTTGAGTTCATTTACTCTGCAGAAAAGGAATAAGAAGCCCTGTGCTGAAGTCAAGAAAGAGTGAACTTTGGAATACAACGTGAAATGAAAACGTTTATTGAGAGACGCATGAAATCGTGCTCCTCTGACTAAGGAAAAGAATAATGACGAGAGTAGGGAGAGAAAAGGCTGAAATGAAGAGAAAGATAGACTAAAGTTATACAAAGGGAATGAATCCAATGAACCGGAAAAGACAGGAGAAGAGAATGATGAATCATGTTATATCAAGAGAGGCGTAGGAGGACTCCGCGGGGAGCGAAAAAAACAGTGACTTTGGATCGCCATATCTCAATGCCCACTAATGGCCTCTCTTCATTAGTCCCATTATGGACCTAGATATCTAGTCGTACACGCCCTCGAATACCTAAAAGTGTCTCTGTACGTCTCACCCGTCATTCCTTTTCGGGCCACCAGTCCAACCCCCCCCCCCCCCTCCTCTTCCTTTTCCTTCTTAGGGAGTTTTGTCTGCGTTGTGGCCAGAGAACCCAGAGAGAGTGAGTACGAGAATTTATGTTGGGAAACCGAATCGGTTTCGAAGTAATAACTCTGTTTTATGGCATCCATAACGCTCTAAGGAGGCGGATGGACTCCCCCGACCTTGCATAATATTTGTCATATGCAGTATTCCGGCGCAGAGAAAGTCTTCCACTGTCGGATCCGATTCTCAATTAGGGGAAAAGGTGGACTCAATTAGTAGAATGGATATGTAGGAAGAAAGAAAAGAGAGGGAAAAAGGACCGTGATGAGATGGTGTCCCTCCGCCCCCTGTCCTTCGTTAGCATAGAAGGGTTTTTTCTCTTTTTTTTTTACTGATTACGTCATCCATAATTTGTAGGTTTTTTTTTAATGGTGGAAATGAACAAACCTCCGAAGCCGTCTCGATCCAAGTCTTTGAGCGATGCGATGGCCATGCCGAACCGAGATCGGATCTGGAATCCCTCGATCAGATCCCAACGACGGAACTTGTGCTGCACAGAAAAAATGTCTCTAAAAATATGTTTTAAAAGCACAGCAAATGAAAAGCGTCGACATTTACGACACCCCTTGGGTGGAGATAATTTACGAGTTGACACAATTCATATGGGCCGTGGCAGAAAAGTTCTCTGAATGCGAGACATCTCGCTTTATTCGTCCCACGAAGGTGTGAAAAGGAGATGAAGAGCTGAGGAAAAGCATATACCCTCCGTCACAGCTACCCACTCGAACATCTCATTGGTGGAAAGGATATACTAGTATTTCCATCACAAAAAGATGTATTTTTTTCCCCCCCAGTCTGAGAAGGCTTAGAATGCAAGGCATAGACCACAAGGATGATCCTTTCTCCTATTTTTCGCTCCAAGACCTCACACGTTTCTTGTCCTCCAAAGAAACCTGGAAAGCTCGAATGCTGGGACTTAACGTTGGCATTCTCCATGATCATAAATTCGTCAATTGGGCAAGGTCAAGGCCATCTTAAGAAAAGGTGGGAGAAATTTTGATGAGATGTGCCAGATGATGACTGGTTAGAGCCGTACTATCATCTACTGTATGTCACGTCGTCTATGATTGCCTCCATACATTGGCTGCATGGGCTTGGAATGCACTGCGTCATCTCTGGGAAAACGAGGATTCGACTATGGAAAACTTGAATTCCTTTCAATAAAACTCGACTCCAGAAGAACTCATTCAGTGAGAAACGACAGCGGATTAAACAGAGATTGAAAACAGCTGTGCAGGTTCGAAAAGGAAAAAAGGGAAGGAAGTGAGGAAACAACGCCGAGTCACTTTCAATGTATACAACGTCCAAGGTATTATTGTGGGTACAGAAAAAAAAGGAAAAGAAAAGGGGGGCAGAAGAGCCATTTATCAAGTCCCCTCGAGATGACTTCATTAAATACGTGACGCAATTTCCCTCACGTGTCTATTCTTCCCTGCAAACAACGGCCATCCTTCGGGGCTTCTTTCTCCTCAGTGTCTATCTTTGACGGGTTTTCATGCAAATGTTCCCAGTATGTATAACCCCAGGGGATCGCCCCCGTTCAGAAAGGAAATTCGTATCAATGCGGACGGGCAAGCGTAGATACGTCAATGTAGAGCATGGAATCGTCTCGTACCGCATCAACATTGAGCTTCTCCATCTGTGCATCCAAAAGCTGCTTGTAGGGTGTTTTCGATCGGTCTTGGAATAGTTTTCGAGAACTTCGCTGAGACTAGTCAAGGCAAGAATCTTCAATAGAGCTGCAAATTTTCCCTTTTGGTTCGCTTGGGTAAGCCATTACTCGCTCGATTTAGAAGGGAAGAAATTATATTCCCATATTATTCCCATTCCTCACCACACCCTTGCTGAATACAAAATATACAGGTCCTCTCGTTAACTCGCGTGCTGATGTTGACGAGCACAAATGTGATCCTGGAGGAAGGGGGTAAGGGTTGCATATGAATTTCAGCTCAGGACTCGTCCTATTTATTTATTTGCAGCTGTAACCTTCCCTCGTGCCAGTAGAGTACGACAAACAGTGCCAGAAAAAAATCTCAGTTTACTTATCGTGAGGGAATGTCTTATTGTTTTGCTTGCTTGTTTGTGAGAAGCAGGTTGTAGGCCAGTGAACCCTCACCCCAGTCCAAGAACCATCATGGCATAGTAAGTATCGCACCCAATCATCCATTGGTTTCACTCTGTCTCCCCCTAGTTCTACACGAATGTAGCCAGAAATCTGTCAGGCAAAGGTTTGTATAGAAAGGGACTTGAAGACCAACCACTCGCACATCAACGTGTATATAGGATAGGTGAGACCAATTCCACCCCCATGTCACAATTCAACGTAATAAGAAATCAAAACAGCCCTTTTCAGCCAAATGACACCAATGTTCGGTCTCAAAATGTAAATGGTTAGTGTGTGCATTTTCCTCTCGAATGGCAAAGATCCCCCAAAAAAGAATGTCAAGATGTAGGTGAGGGGGCTGATTTTAAGCTTAAGGGGGCCGGAATTTGTATCACCTATCTTATGAGGGATGTTTTTTTATGAGCATACAAAATGAATACGGAGCTTGTTACGGTTTTTCTTGACCTATCGGGAGATTGCATCAAAGACAGATACCTCTGTTTTACTGAGGAAAGTATTCGCAAAAAAAATTGAATAAGAGCAATAATTAAACTAATAAACATGAATATAGGGTAACTTTGCTGATTTATTGCTTAAGGTGATTAGCTGATCACATACATCTACCGTATTTGACTGGATATAAATAGCGATCATATCCTGGAATATAATTTGAATATGCTAATAGTCTGAAATGAGCACCCATTCTACCGCACGAGTGCATTCGTGACCTGACGATCCTGTTTGCTTTTGCTCGTTCGCCAATGGTACAAAAGGTGAAAAGCCAAAATTTTCCTGACCATTCAAACGCATCTCGGTGAATTGAGAAAATTTCGTAATAGAGCCCTGATTGCGTTCTTAGTCATTTAGAACGTTCATCCCAAGTAGATCCCAAGTCGCTCCAATTCTCTTTCGAAATAATATTTCAGTATGTGGGTTCCAAGCTCTTAGTCGTAATTGTAAGCTGTGTAGTAGGCCACCTCATGATGCAAATAGTAGCCTACGCAGGATTTGCGGAATGAGGGGGGAGGGGGTTGTGTCAGTATTGTGGCAGCTGTAAGACGAGAGGAGGAGCAGTGCTGGGAGAGAATTTCAGTGACATAGAAATGCGCTGCGCATATTGCGCCCCTCCCGAATCCACCGCCCTAAGCGGTCGCTTTCCCAGTCCCAGATCCCATGTAGTAATTCCTTGTGTTGAGGTTCCTTTCGGAGAGAGTACTTATATCAAGCCAGACTGTAGAATACAGAAAAAGTCGAGGATCACTTCATACTGTGTCGAAGGAGATGTCCTTCATAACACCCAAATTCAAATACTTTTCTATAACTTTTTTAAAGGCGAATCTCTAAACCAGTCCGCAAGGGATAGAGCTTTGCAATTTCCGCTTGGTCATCTTCAGTCGATCTCTTTATCAAGTCGATTTTGCCTCCAGTAATAATTCTTGAAGCAATAGTACAACTAGTTCCATATTTAACATTGACACCAAGCATCGAGAAGAATTTCCGATCAGTTCCATTCCACTTTTCAATCCAGGCAATCCCGACATGCCAGGAAGGCAGGAATTCACTGTATTCTGAAGGAACGCCTACAAAGTGGACACAGAAGGCAACATAAAGTGTAAGATCTCAGGACATGACCTTTTGAGGCGTTCATACTGCTCTACATGACCAGTGGTGACTGTTCATTTTTCCATTCCATTGACTTTATTATCATATTTCCTAAGCTCAAATTCAGAGGGATGAGTCCAAATTTGGTAAACAGAATGTCAGAAGTTTTAATTAGATTCTGGAAGCCTCCGAAAACGCGGTTCGAAACTCAAACTAAAAATAAAATGGTTTTGGGTAGGATTCTTCAGTCGTCTCCACTACAAGCTGGCTCTTAGAATCAAACTCTCAATTTTTCCAATGTCACTACCTCTCCTCTGGTGCGCATGAAAGGAGAAGGTGCCGCAAGGAAGGCGTATGGGTTCTGGCAGGGTGATAAATAGTACAAGCTATTACATAGCATGTTCTGTGTATGCATAGAATAGCTCGTGAAGTCTGGATGAATTTCATTATTTCCTGCGCGAACATGGGGCTGCACTAAAGTAATGACAGCGTATCAACGCCTTTGGGGGAATGTTAAATATCGGCCGATACATAAGCTGATACTCGACAAAGGGCCATATTACCGGAAACGTGCGCTGATCACAGAAGGCCCTTCCGAATCCCGTAACAGCAATCAAGATAGCCGGGAGAATCCTGTTAAATGGCCGTTGAATCTCACAGAAGACCATTGGATGCCGCCTCTCACAAGGTTAGGCCCTCCTAAGAGCCTCCCTTTCTTCCATATAGGCTGGGAACATTTTTTATGTCGGTCACCCGCTGATAATAAAAATCTGCCAATTATCGGCAGGAACGCTTCTCATAATTGGTTTGTTAGCTGCCGTTTACACGTTATTGCTTATTGTCCTAGGGAGAGGGAAAGAACTCACGACGCTGTTATGCATGGCGACGGAGACCTTGCCGATTTCCCACCGCATGGGATCGTTTTTGTCTGTGTAGAGAGGGGATCCGACGAGGACGTCGTCACGTCCATCCCCGTTCACGTCGCACACGGCCACTGAGTAGCCAAAGTATTCACCGAACGTTTCCCCTGTCAGGTTGTGCAGTCGTTCTAGGGTTGCCGACATCAGGATCACCTGCGGTCACATGTATTTCCATTTCCATCACCTCCATAATGAGAAAACCTGTGGCTTTCAACACGCCCAGTGCCTCCGCTTATGAAATGCTTTGCTTAGTAAGCAAATAGGATAAGGGAATTTTTCTGTACCGAAACCAGCCAATTCCTATATTTACATGAAATTAATTAATATGAAAAAAATAATGGAAGCCTTTATGCAAGAGCAAGAGTACTTATCCTTCGGCTAAAATTTGGGAATCTCTCCTGTCCTGTCTAACAAGAGTGGGAGGAGATTGAAGGCATCCTTTCAGTAAGGGGTCGATTCATGAGTTGACGTGACAAAAATCTCCACTCCCTTGTTTATTTCTTTTCCCCATAGCCTAGAAAGACCCGGAACGAGAGGAAGGTGCTAACCTTGCCGACGAGGGGCTTGCCGTCGGGTCCCATGCCTCGAGGCATGCCGACGGCTATGTCGGGCTCTGCATCTCCCGTGAATTCCCCCACCGCAAGGGAATAGCCAAAGTAGGAGTTGTCTTCTGTGGAACCCCCTTCCGGCGTTGCGTACTGAACCACCTCTCGAGGCTTTTCGTCGTACGAAAACACCTGACCTGAGGGGTTCATTTTCTCATCGAATCATTCATCAAAACGGACATGAACCTATGAAATAGCCTACCAAACAATCAAGAGAGGGAATCAATACATCAATGAAGCATGAAAGGATGTCATCCTAATTGTCTCCCTATGGCGTAAAGGCACAATAAAATGAAGTTTTAGGAATTAAATTTAAAAATCTTTGAAAAACGAAAGCCGGAATAAAATAAGATGACTTCAGCAGCATCAGGAAACATGAAGGAAACCACCTGACTGATAACCATAAGAGCCATTGTCATATGTGGCGGAACCGATGGGAACTGAAATATAGAAAAAGGAAGGAAGGAGATGTTCACGCCCGTCTCGTCGTGAGAATGCAATCGACCTTCCTTTGACCCCTTGAGTTTGGGCTGACACGACAAACGGGAACGGAGATGGAGGATGAAAGACAGAAGTGACAAGGTTCCATTCAAAGCGCCCATCCAGCCATGTAGACCCCACAAAAAAGGAGGGGAGAAAAAAAACCCGACACGCTAGCAAGGCCCCCGAGGCTGTATATCCGAAACGTAATTGAGACACCAACGTGAAGGTGATTTGAATTTGGATCACGCAGGGGGGGCCGAGCCTTTCTCATAGCCTTTCTTTTTCCATCTTGGACTATTTCCAAACCAAACCAACCTCGTGACTCATACAGGAGTCCCAGCGTGAATGAGTACTGAGAACATAGTACTTGGGGACATACCTTGCCAGTACCAGCTGCCGACGGCGCCGATGAAAGTCCAATTTCCATCTGGAGACAGGTCCGCCCCGAATCCTGCTTGGCACGATCCTTGTCTGTGATACCCCCAGGCCGCTATGCACATTGGTTTCAAAGATTAAAATGTCAGTGCCGAAGGAATCAATTAGGGGAAACTATTGAACGAAAAAGGAAAAAGTTGTGCGAAAAACATGTGCTTCAAGATGCTTGGGTGCATTCTGTGCATGTGCAAGAAGACCAATACAAAATCTACTGAAAAATACAAATCAATTTTTTAAGATATATAAATATAAATGGTTTATTTTCATGTTCAGAGACTCACGAGGGCAAGCCGTCCTGAGCCCTGCAGGGAAACCAAAACGCTTTTTACCCATGACGATTTTTTTTAGAACCAGAGTAAATGTAGCCATTTTGTGGGATGCCGTGGTGACAGGGCCTAACTCAAGCGTGTGACATGAGCCTAATTGCACGCTCATAGGGAAGGGCCAGGACGTGTGACATGGGAAAAGGTAAAAGCGGAAGGAACAGACCCGGGTGCAGGCCTCATTCGATACAGACACTCTGCACCGGCTATTTATAACGCATAGGCTTTGTCTGCTTTTGCAACACTGCAGCTGTGAAATGCTGCCAAAATCAACGGATCCTCTGCTAAACCCCTCATTCCCCCCTCCCCCTCGCATGACGACGACACCAAAAATTCGGATTATTTTCCCCGTTTCCGTTTTTGGACGACGTCCAAGAAAAGGTATTCAAAGGGTATTCCATAATACACCCCGTGAAATTAATTGCCAGGTAAATTTCGGATGCAGAGACCCTCCATTCATTATGTGACGCAAGAAGTTTTTTTCTTCCCCATGGTCCACGCATCCCTGGTTCGATAAAGGATTGCTTCTTCGAGAGAAGAATGCTTGGGATCTTACTCAATATTCCCTCAGCATATCAAGGGTGTGTAAATACCTGCAGGCCCCTATTATGCGTCGGTGATTGTCATGCGAGAGGACCATCGTAGAGTCTCAGGTCCTCCAAACGGCTTCTCAAAGGAAGAGCCCCCCCCCCCCCCCCTTTAAAAAAAAAAAAGAGAAAGGGAAAGGAAAATAAAGGAACTTACACGTCCGGCAGGGAGATCGGGGCTCGAACTCGAACCCAGAATAGGCACCAGAATGCAACGGCAATGCGATGAAGCAGTTTCCTACTGGGTCCCTTCGATCTCGTCTCTGCTTGGTGTAGAACACGTATCTTGGGGCACATGCCTGCAGAACATTCACCAATAAAAGTGTTTCTGAACCTAAACATTTTTGCCGCCTACACATATACAATTTCCCTATTGGATCTTTCTTCGTTGCAAAACCTATGCATTTGACAACCATAGCACTGAGCCAGAGAGCGTTTCAATTTTACAGATGAAACCTAGGGGTGGATTTTTGAACAGAGAACTATCCGATAATGCTGCTTTATTTCCGGAAAATATCATGAATTTTTCCTGGAATAAAGCTGTATCATTCTATCAAAACCAAACTCTAGATTCCTTCGAAATTTCTAAATGGAATCTGCCACAACGGATGCCGGGCTCAAAAATTTTAGGCTGCGCGCCAATTTTTTGCCTTTTCTTCACCCCCCTCTGATGTATCCAATTACGGGAAGGAAAGTGACACGAAATACAGAGTATGGTATGTAAAGGCTGGAAAAAGCAATCCCATCAGAGTAATGGAGCAAGACAGCCAAGGTAAACATAGATTCCAAGGGGACAAAACCCAGACAACTTCCCTTGTAAACTTCCTGGCCAACTTCCTAGAAATGCTACTGGACTTGATAATAATAACTTTCTCCATGTCCCTCGGTAATGACAGAGCTCCCGTTTGAAGATGAAGATATCTGGAAAGCAACGGGCAGGGCGCAGTTTCACCCTAGAGGGAAGTCGGGGGGGATATCACATTAATTCCAGGTGTGATCAATTTGCCACCTCGGAGTCTCTTGCAGGCCAGTCACGCGCTTCATATCGTATCCCTAGGGCACTCATGGACATTCTCCATGTTCTTCTTTCTCTCCCCTGCACCGTTGTCTTTTTTTTTTTCCAGACTCCCTCAACAGACGGGAATCTGCCGTTACGTTCCCTTTCCCCCACTTGTCAAGCCTCTGGAATCCGTCCATATACGTCAAACAGCATTCCATGGGTTACGTTATACGTCCCCCCATTCCATAGGGGACGTATAATCTAAGGCATCCGGGATGAAAGCTCTTCTCCGGGAGAATGGGAATGAGCGAGGACATTGACATGCAGAAAGAGTAGAAAAAGACCCGTGAAGCCTGTCATCGAGGAACCCCACGTGCGAAAACAGTTCCAGGCACAGAACCCCTGATAAATTATATACGCCAAACACACAGACACACGACTCCTCCTACCTCCCTAACATCTTCCCCGCTTCGATTTTCCATATGGAACTGATTATACACGTCTCCAGTGTAGTTGGAAGCTTAATATTCCTTCAAAGCCTTGCCTTAGGAGGTCCTTGGAAAGAGTGTTTTCCCACCAGGGAGAGAGAGCGCAATAACGCACATAGGTCGTAAGCTGCGAGGAAGGACATCAAGAAGGTTGTTGAGAAACCTCAGAGAAGGTTCTGGACATCCATTATTGAAGGATGGAGAATCCACCGTATAATGCATATGCATGAAAGGAAGAACGTGTATGTAGGGTGTTTATGCACAATGCAGACATTCATCAGGGCATTACCTCCACATCCACCCACCCACTCGGTCCCACGCAATGTGGCCGTTGCCACCGGTCACTGTCAGCCCAGGATTTAACACTTCCCCTTCCCCATTTTGTACATCACACCTCTCAAGGAAGACAGCTACAACCCCTAGCCCTACCTTTCTCTGTGTCCTTGGCATCCTCCGCATTTCATGGTGAAGTCTTCCGAAATTTGACCGAAGAAATGTCGAAACATGTAATCAATAACAGACAGATGGAAATAAACTTAAAATGCTCCGAGTAAAATGAAAAAAATATATACTAAAAGCATGTTCAGATGCAACAAGATTCCAATCCAGGCTAAACGGGCCTCCTAAAATAAAATTTTAGCTGGGTAGGTCAGCGTGATGAGGATTCGTCACGCGATGAGACAGCTCTGGAAGTCCATTGAAAGAAGAAGAAAAAGAATTAGGAAGGAGATCGATCATGCACTCTTTCTTTCGTTCACCTCACGGCATTCGGGTTCAGAAGGCCTCTGACCCGCACAAAAGGGAAGAAGGAATTCATTTCCTCGTCCCGTTGCCTTACTTGCAATCTATTTTCATTTCCATCATGGATGGAAAGAGAAAGCGGTAGGTATGGGCTTCCATGATGAATGACTTTTGATCACTTCCCCCCTTGATCTCATTTGCATCATTTTCCATCTTCATGGACCCACCTATATCGAGGGGCACGTACACAAATTCGATTCGTGCTGACCTTTGTGTTTTCCCATGTTTCAAGTTCATTTTTCCATCGTCGGTCAGTTCCCAACTTCATTCATTTTCTCCTTCATCTCTGTTCTTTCTTCTGTTTTCTGTATTCCTTCATCTCTGTCCATTTCTATTCAGCATGTCATTGAGGAAAAAGTGGGAAAATGCTAGCCCTGTCGAAGTGCACAATTGGAAAGCGTGAAAAGCGCTTTCTCATAATTACAGGACGGGGGGAGAGGTGGTAATGAAGGCGATAATGGTAGAGAGACAGGTAATCGTCCATTATCCGTAACCACCGAGACCCACTTGTCACGTCTCCGAAACCAGCCTTTGCTCTGTCTTTTAGCCTAGTCGACCAGAAAGAAAATGACAGGAATTTTCTGGTCATTCGTGCATGTCCATTCATCATGCGTATGCACGGACGCGAACAAAAAAATCCTTACAAGCTCAAGGAACATAACATACAAGCTCTTTGGCAACTTTCAATGGGAAAGTGCCGGTATTGGCACAACAGGATTGAATTTGTGGGAGGATTAGAATTTATTCACTGAGAAATTCTATCTGGTCTTCCAGCATATTACTAAATACCCCCCTCCCAAAAAAGTATATACTTTTCGCTGAACTTCGTATGTACTCGGGCCTGGTAAGAACAGTAGTGACCGATTTATTGAAACTTCAGATAAGCTTTTCTCTTATCTCTCCTAAAAAATTTTCATCTCCTATCGAACCCCAGACATAACTCATCAACGGAGAAGCACGTGATGAGCTAAACAGTTCGATGATTTATGGACTGCTGAGAATAAAACACAACTTTCCATTCTAAAAACATTGGGATATCATGAAAATGGAAAACGAAAACGTGACGAGAGAGGAGAAGGAAGGAGAGAAAAAAGAGAGCACTGGAGACTATCTTCACTTTACCTTTACGATCTCTTTGAAGTAACACATTATTCCCTCTCTCTCTCTTTTTTTCGTCTTCTGAAATGCAAAGCGGCGTCACGACCAAACAAAACAAGAAATATCCGTGTTTCGCAATCCCTCACTCTGAGAAAATGACAATGGTAATGTCTTGCATTTCACATCCTCAGTAGATTTTTTATGTACCAAAACTATTATCCTAATACCTGCCATGTCGAAATCAGTGGCGGATACAGAAAATTTTCTAAGGGGAGGCGGTTCCCTAGTTCTTACTTAACCCCTTCCCCTGGATCCACCACTGGTCGAAACCTATGCACCAGAACATCACTTAAGTTGCATGCAACTGGACTCTAGGTGAAAATACTCGAATGTGTACAAGGCAAAGACAGCGTTGCAAAAGTGCTAGTTGGAATCCAGGATTGGAATGTCTCATATCTCCTGCAGTACAGGAGATCCGTAGAAAGGAAGAAAAAGCTAAATGTGGTAAATACGAGAATAAGAGATGACGAAACGCAAGTCCTTCAAGAACCTGGAGTGCTTATCCTTCCTCCACTGACCCCGCTGATGGGAGAGACTAAGAAAAATATTGCCTCTCTCTAATAACGATGATTCACGCCCAAATCCGAAATATCTGCTCTTTCTGCCGCCTCATCCTATACTGTACATACATATGTGAGATAGTGAGGCTGCCTCTTCTTCCCACGTTCTCTATAGGTGAGAAGACCCTCCTCTCCCCACGTGAGAGAGTGAGCGAATGAATGAAGAGGGAAGAGATCCTTTCATTCATTCATTCACTCTCACACTCAGGGCTAATCGACCCTCACTGACTTGCAACCTCGCAATTTTTTTTAAATCCCCTTAGTAAAATCTAATCAAGGTTTCGCATCAAGCTCAACCTTTCATGCATATCAATCGTGTATCCTCCATTCCCCATGGCCTAATTTACCTGTTTCGCGAAGCGTAAGGCAATGCAACGCATTGCGTAATGTATTTTTCTAAATTAATACCAGGATTGATTTACAGCTTATTCCAATTGCTTTTTTTTTATCATTGTCCCAATACATTTTTTATCACATTTTTTTTTATCATATTAACCCTGATGCTTAAATAAAATGAAACAATAAACAAAAGTAATGCGTCATCTTGCATATATACTCATCACCAAAAAAGCAACGCCAAGAAAGAAGTTGGGTCAACTCGACCAGCTTGACCGAGGCACATTATGTTTAAAAGGCATGCCTTGCTGCACAGTGAGGACAAAAGGAACCAATTCAGGCCTTTTTAATCGACTTCATTCAAACTGGCCAACTTGGCGAAACTGCCTCAGATGTCATTGTCTCGACGTGAATCGTTAACCGATTTCATGACAGGCACGAGTTCAAACACCTAATTTCACAGCACAGCAATTCCTTGGAGGCGCTTTTTTGCGATGAGTATGCAAGTATATACGAAAACTGATTCGTAACACTGAAAGAAATCAAGAATTTACCTTGAGAATATAAACTTCTTTCATTATTAATATTTAAAAGAAATCCTCACCAGGATCGGGCCATCAGGTCCGCCGCTCTTGACGGTGGCTCCAAACCACTGCTCACTTTTGTCATCCTCCTGCTTCCCGTCCGTCGTGTTTGCATTCCCTGCATGAACAGAAAAAAGAAAAAAGAACTCACTCACACTCCCTATGTCCATTGAGAAAACAATCACGCATCTTCGTAGTCTGCCGATTGACCGTGGCAATAACGGTATGGAGGCGTGAAAAAAAGAAGCCCGGTGTTTCCCGATGAACTCAGACGGAGGAGCGAGGGGGATAAAAAAAAATCTTTTTGGGGCCCTGTCGGCGCCCGAGGGAGAATCGTGGCGGAGAGACTGACAGCCTAGCCTTTAATCATCCCAATCGGTCTCTAATGGTCCAGCTTTTTTTTTTTGGATTGCATCGTCACCCTTCGACCAAAGCAGTCACGACCTCGAGAATTCACTCGATTGTACTTGATATCGTGAGAGGGTATCTGTTACAGAAACAATATGCATCGAGAGAGGTGAATCCGTGCCTAGTCTCAATGCATCAAAATGGAGTCTGTGATAAATTTCCCGCTTCTCTCTCCATCATTCTTCATTAGCGTGAGCATTATTTCCTTCAGACTTTCACCTCCGAGAGTCATGCAACCGACAGAGGTTATCCAGTCATCCTCTCGTGTAAACTTTTTTCTTTCTTCTTTCTTCCTTTATCCATCTTCCAAATCCTGGCATAAATGGTGTCACATATCATGCACGAGACCCTGTAGAATAAAGAAAGGGCGCTGGGGCACAGACGTTATGGCAAGTACTCGAGATACTTGACGCTTCCTTTCAACTGCTAACCTTACGAACTTTCTGCAATAAAAAAGTCACGTCGTCCCCCCGAAAGTCGTCGTAATCCAAGCGTTTATTTTCATGTATGTAAGATGTGGAGCGCACGAGAACGAATGCAAAAAAAAGGGGAGGTTGTGCAAAAGCAGGGCAGAGCATGGCCTCGAGGAGGAGTTTCTTCTCATTCCGGTCATGAAGAGAGGCTTTGATGTCTTGATTATGGAAAACCAAGATTTATCCTCTTGTGGTTTGAAGCCATAGGCAGAGGCCTTTAATGATAGGTTCTCCCTGTCTCGCTTTCTTTTTCGTGACGCATATTGGAAGGGAAGGGACGGAAGGGGATTCACGCTTTCACGCTCGAGCTACCTGATCCCTTCCTTCTCCTCCCTTCCTCACGGAGATGGAGAAAAAAAAAAACCCTTTATCAAATGGAAGGAGGCTGAACATTTTCACCTCATCCATTGCTGATGTGATGACATTTCTATACTCTAACAGCGATGTTGAATCCTGATACCTTTTTTTAACCTGCAATTTGAGATCTCCACATCCTGTCAAGTAAGATGTTCATTTTGACTTCATTGACTTATTTCGGACATTTTGTTAAAGAATGCAACAGTCTAACGCACACTTCTACGGTAATACGTAAAACGCCAGAGTGCATGTCGACAGAATCTGTTTCATTTTGAAAGCAAAAAAGATGCAATGAAATCGCAAGATTTCAAGACATTTTGAATTGAAGAAGGACGATCGTGTATGTGGCAATGGCTGCCAAAATGGCGATGAACAGAGACCTCTTGAAGGTAGACAACTTCAAGGGAGACAATGAGATATGCGGAAAGGAAACGGCAAGGACCAACCCATCAAGAATATCACCATCAACACCATCATCCAGGTCCCCTTTGAGAATATGTTTGATGAGACGTCGCCGGGAGTCGCAAAGCCTCTGTCCCACGTCGCAAAGAACGAACATCTGGATTATGGAGGTGACGAGGACGCCGCAGAAAAGTCGAGGAGAGAGAGTGGGCGTGGATCACCTTTACATCAGTCAACAAGGAAGAAGAAGCGGAGCAGAAAAGAACTGCTCGGAATGAGACAACCAAAATCGGCGATCCCATGTCCTCTCCTGAGAATCCAGGACTCCCTCCACTTCACGACACCTTGATAATTCCTCAAGATCCATATTATCCCGTCTAACTTCTTCCATACATGAGAAAATGGTCAATGACACTTGGAGATATAAGAAGATCGGGTATAAGGAGATCTTGAAGTCCATGAAAAAGGAAACGTAGCCAGACACGAGATCGGGAAGGATTGAGCATCCGTCCTTCTTGAAGAAACACTGAACGACTTCGAAAATGAAATCAATGTCGAACTCCCACGGAAATACCAGGACAAACGCAAAGAGCAACATCCGCTGGTTGATATTAAATATTTATTCAGGACTTTTTGCGCATTTCTGGAATGATTTATATTTCTTCCAGAATTCTGTTCCCTGTTTGCAGTTCCAGGCAGTGAAGATGATCATGATGCCGTAATAGCTATGCCAGATCATACTTCTGACATTGAACGCGATGAAGGACAGCTTGTGTTCGACATAATATGCATCTTGAAACCATCGGAGGGTGATTGAAGCATAGATGAAGTAAGAAAACAAAGAGATATCAAGAAGAGAGATGACGCTGAAGTAGGGGAAAGACCATTTCCCGCTTCCTTCCCCAACGTGGCATCCTAGAACTTCTCCCGTCTTTCTGATGAGATACCCTTCTCCTGTCTTTTTGTGGAACAGCCATTTTTCCAGCATTATTGGCAGAACTAACAGCACAAAATGCCTCGTCGGAGCGCGAGGTCCCTCGCTGGGAACGGTAGACGCAAACGAAGTGCGACGCATTCAATCTCATATCATGACTATGATTCACTTATTTAATATTTGATGAGGGCGGTGGCATGCGTTGCCGTGAATGCTGTGGCAATCTTCGCAAATCACTAAACATATATTCAGGATTCTTCAGACTTTCCCTATAGTCGGAAAGTTGTCCGCAGAACGTATGCGAAATTTCAATATTTATGGAGGACAACTAAAATTGTCAAAAAATTTTTAAATCAAATTTTACACACATTTTCATGGCATGTCAGTGCAAAAGAGTAACGGAGAATGTAAGGTTAATGCAGCGAGAGCTAACACATTTTGTATCAATGCTGCATGCAACTGTCAAGTAAAGCAAATTAATTGAAAAATCAATCGAGGTCGAGTTTCAAAAGATCCACACGGAAAGCGCAATTATTTTAATGGATCGCCACGCCTTTGATTCCATAGAGAGGAAGACAAATTGACTGGATAAACAAAGTGTCGAGACTAACAGCTGTCTTTTCATCAATATATTGATTTCTCACATATCAGAAATAGAACAGACAATCGGACTTCTTGTACATTACTCATTCTGCATTCCACTCTTCGCCCGAAAGAACGACTTGCAACTTGAAGCGACCGAGAAGAAACCTTGATTCGAAAAAGGGATCCGTTTGTCTTGTGCTAGCTGGGTCTGCCCTCTGGATAGCTTACGTCCCACATCTGAGAAGTCTGAGGCATTGAATTTTGGCCTTACTCGCTAGTGTGACAACTTCGTCATGGGTTGCCCCCATTTTTGCGAAGACATCGCTGAGACAACGCAATATCAAGGTCAATAACTGGTCTCTCGTAACGTTGTCCGTTATCTCGTCCAGCTATCCTACCGTTTCATTATCATCAAATCTAACCTTTTTCTCGTATAAAATAAAAGAATGCTGCGTGTATATTGGGCGTTCGATGAAGTTATCGGAAGAGAGACGATTGGAGGAATTCAGAATCTGTTGAAGTATCCGGAACTGGAAACGTTAACAGAATGCAAAGAAAATGCCTCGGAATTCCCTCTGGTGGCCTAATGCCTCCGATCCGTGGTCTTTGTCATCTTCATTTTCCTCTTCAGAAACCACGACGCAATATGCGGTTTTCTTTGCCATGGCCTTCCCGCAGGCGTTGCCCCTGTGCACTGCTGGTCAACGTCTCCAAAACGAGAAAAGGTCTTTTAACGGCGACTATGTAGACTATTGCAGACGTCATGCTTTGAGAAGAAAGGGAAATCCCCTCCTCGAGTCTGGAGGCCGGGACCCTTTCTTGGGCTTCCCCACAAGTTGGTCTCCTCAATCGAGCTTTGTTCTTCTGCATTCTTGCTGTCGTCGCCACTTACTCCATCTCCTTCTTTCATTTCCGAGAGAGTGAGCGATGACTCCTGTAGAACGCGATTCCTTTCCTAATTACGACTACCGAGACAGCATAGGTATCTTCTCTCCCGTGTCATTCACAAGCTAATGAGCCAATGCATAAGAAGACTTTAAGCAATGCATAAGAAGACAAATACTGATATGCATGTCTTTGGTAATATATGTGCATTTCATCAAATATTTGTTGCTCACATGATTAAAGCACACAAGACTTCGAAAAGAATAATTCAAGATGAAGCGTCAGGCAGCAGCCATTAGATCATTCGCAAACTGATCGGCGCAGCAGTCCAAGGTAACGAACTTTGTATTAAGTGGACATGAGATAAAAATTCCTTCGAATTAACCCAAGATACGCAACCAGCCATCAGCTGTTATTATACATCACATATGCAACTATGCTTACAGTGACTCCCAATATCTTAATAATTCTTGGGCAGAAAAACAGAAGTAACGAAAAGTTACACTATTCGACTCATTGCTTGTGGACTAAACTCTAAACACCAGAGTAAACCTTTTGGCATGATTCCGAGTGCAAGTCAGTTTTTATATTGCCATATATTTCACATCATTCCACGTCATGGATTTATATGGGGGCGTGTGCATACATTAATCGATTTCCGGGTCATCGATTCATCATCCCACTTGCAAATTGGCCAAGAATCAATTTTTGTGCTATGAAAGTCATTCGTTCTCTAGCTGATGGTAAATGCGACTATCATTAAACCCCCCCTGGAACCTAAGTTACAGTTCCAATTTAAAATTTTTCAATGATAATAAGTTTGTCGACATTAGGAAAAAATATTCATTCCTCATTATCGTCCATTTTTAGCTGGAATGAACCGTGTGTATGTTATATACTGTACACATATATGAAACATGTATAATTAATCAGGCCAAAGCTTAGTAAAATGGACTCCTAGCTCTAAAAAAGGAGACGTGAAAGATCATATATATCCTTCTCATTAACTCCAATGAGATCGCGTCGATTTCCATCATGTGCCTCTCACGAAATAGCGTGATGCAGACTACCCTTAAATTCACTTCGGTCTCCATGTTGTCAAAAGGAATCACTCAAGATGCAGTCGGGTTAGAAACTTTTGCACCTGAAGAGAGCCCTGTCTGAATTGAAGATTCAAACGACTATATGGATAGTCTTTAACATGAATATAGATGTAATAAGAAAAGGGCTTTTGTATTCCAGTAATTTTTCCGGAACCAAGGCGCTAGATCCTCCTGCCATGTCTTCTCGAGGAAAGGAAATTTCCGGGTGCTGATACGATTAGGTTACGAAGTCCTCCTAGCGGCACCTATACCCCGTTATTATGTACCATGAGCCCCTTCGGCACACGATGAAGCATGAAACGCGACCTGACGTAAAGGATATGCTCTATCACACCTTGCATGGATCACAGATCATGAAATCAAGGTGGATATTATGGAGATTAACCTGCCAATCAAAGTGTCCAGCCCCAAGCGGGACATCAATCTCGGGCTATTACGCCAGAGACCTTTTTTCTCTTCACACGTGACAGAAAAGCTGAAGACGAAAAAAAAGAAACGGTCTGAAAGTATGCCATATATGTTAATTTACATGGGATCCTGCAGAGAAAGGATCTCCATCCGATTCGATCAAAATTCATTTCTCACCAGCGAATTTACTGGTGGGAAACGAAGGAAGGCCAGGCTTCTTAAAACATTGACTGAGAACTCCGTGACAAGCAGGACCATCAGAGATGCAAGAGGCGCACCATACTTATATATATATGGAGGACGGAGACTGAGGGATTCATCTCTTTCTCGCCGTGGACAATGAGCGGGTTTGTGGATGTAAATGTGCACAGTGCATGCACGTGTGTGCTGTCGGCAAAATTATCCCGACAAAGACTCCCTCTGTTCCTGGACATTAACCAGGAGGAGGGTGGAAGAGAAGAGATTCCACGAAAAGAAATCCTCATCTGCTCTGTCACTCTCCTTACTTCAAACAATGGATGCATCACCATCCCTTCTAAGAAATGGGCACAACAAAACCGTCTGAAGTCCCTCAGAAATAGAAAACCCCATCTCCTGGGGATATGGGAAACGATTTTCTTGAAGAGATTGCAAACAGCATCTGGTAAACCAGAAAGGCATGCAATCTAGTGTCTGAATTGCATTCCTTTCTCGCAAAAAAGGCATCATGGTGCCGATGCAGCGGCGACAGTTTTACATGTCTCGGAAACACCGATCCATGACTTGTTTATGGAGTGGAGGAGTGAGTGCCTTTTTCACCTTCCCTTCCGCCCATTCTTTTTAACGGCTAAACCTGTTTAGACCCTACTGAAGGGAAATAAAATGAAGTGATTTGCAAATGAATTCGTACCACCATTAACATGATGCATATTATTCCTAACTTAGCATTCAAAGTGGTGGTGGACGACGTTAAACTCTTGGTTTACATATCAGGATAGATGTCCCATCAGTCGCCCTCTCGCTCGGGGGTAATAATTCACGCCAGCCTGATATCAGTTTCGTCCTATCTTTTGAGCAGTCCCATGGCGCCACGAGGTCCGCTTGGAACAATTAGCGATTCTCGACGAATAAGGAATATATGATATAACACTGGAAGGACAATTTCACAGGAAGATCCCTCACACTGGATATGAAATATTCTAATGTGACAACGATGTGCCAGACTTTACGCAAGACAGGAGAGAAGACATCGCCAACCAATACAATTCATCCTGAAATTTCCTTAAGTAGCTGCATTACCGGTTTGTGGTTATGTAACAAACACAATGATGGGTTTGGCTAGAAGAAAGTAGAAAATAAACGAAAGGAGTAGAAATTCCGTTTCATCAGGATTTCAAGAAAAACATCGAGAATGATGAGAATGCAGTAGAGAACATTCCTCAAATTCATTCCAGCACCATTCATCAGACGGAGAAAAGGAAAGTAAATGACAAAGTGATGAATCTCCTTCCAAAATCCAAGAACAGATGTCACTCGTGCCAGGTGGAGCAAAGTTGGCTCTGAAAAGTCTTAATCTAGCTCTATGACGATTCAGAAATTGACGGAGTCACTCTCCTTTCCATTCAGTCGGCCTTGTTCTGCCCGAATCCCGGACGTATATTCCGGTTTCGTCGAATTCGTGGGTAGATGAGAACGAAATTGGCCCTCTGCAGCTGCAAGGAGAAATGTATCCTCCGACATTCCCGTTTTCACCCAGACTGTTTCCATGAACAATATACAAATGGTTGTTTTTCACAAACCGAGCCGTTTCCCTGGTTTCATCGAGGCGTAGATTCTGTAAGCTTCCTAACCCTCGCCTCTTCCCTCCCCTCGCTTGACGGATAACGCTATTCACGGAGGGGCTCGAATTGAATGAGTCATCAATATGGAAGGACTATGATTTTTAACAATAATATCCTTTCCTTGAGCTGACGAAAAAATTACCATCACCAGGAATTACCAATTACCCGCTTACCATGGTAAGCCCATTCCTCGAAGCATCATGCTCGCATTTCTTCATTTCCATACGCCCGATCTATTTCTTTCTTCCCTCCTGCGATGGCTTGCAATTTTTTTTTTTACTAGAGCCATGGCAAGTCTGCAATTTCTGTCATGATTTCCATCATTCTCCCTCCACTCAAGAGGGGGAACCACCTGCGATTCTTTCCTCAGACTGCTCATAATTATACTCTATGGTCTTCAGAAGAGGGTTTCGGGCAGCAACATACAGTTTTCCTTTCTTGTTTTTCCATTGAGGAGGTAAAAGCCCGAGAAGAAGATGGAGAAACTACGATTTAATAGGCGAAACCCGTGCACTGGACTTCATTCTCGATACATCAGTTGCCACCCATATCGCAGCGATGACAGCGAAGACAAAAGCGGGCGGAGGAATTATTCCATGGAAAAAGCATGACGCCCATGTTAAACAAATGGCATAAGTTCATTTAAAAACCACCTGTGTCACCTTATTTCTTGTTTAGACTCAGCGGGCTTTTGTAAATGTAAAATATGGCTCCCTGCCTACCTCTCAGTCGATAGTGGACGCGGCTGGTCGAGCATGGAACTCGAGTTTCGTGACAGAATGCACTTGGAGGCTGCATATCCGAACACAGGCTCTTGCTCTCGCTCTCGCATGATTGTGCATGAACGTGCGTCATAAACTCGGTCCTCCAGGATGGGTACGAAACTAGACTGCGTGGCTGTTCCCTGGTCAAGTTCACAGACCACCCGGTGGCCTGTGCACGAACGCGAGGTCAGTTCCGTGCAGCATTGAACGCAACACAGTGAAAAGAGCCCAATAGAGAATAGAGAAAAGAGCCCAAGAGAGAAAGATACCCTTTCTCACGCTACGTTCAAACGAAAGCTGGAGGATTGATTCCCCTTTTTGGAAGTACGAATGGATATGAGTTGAAACTTTTAAGAGTTAAACTTTTCCTCTCGCTATGTCTAGTTTTATAACCTGGGAAATCTTTCGTTTAACCCCTTGGATGTCGAGTCTTTGAATGGCTTGCGTCTGTCGCGTGTCGGGTTTTCGGCCATTTAAATTCAGGAATACTTATTTCTGCCGATAGATTACTTCTATAAATATATTATTTCCAGAACAGAGTTACGGGAGTGAAAAACAATTAAACTCGGAACTAACACTCGGGGCCTGCATGAATTCAAACGAGTATGCTCGGACGTGACACCTAAGGGGTTAAGAGAGTTTTATCAATTATGCCAAAATCATCGGCGAAGTTGCTTCAAAAAGACGCCGAATCCATTGGAATCTGTGCTACGAAATGTGGCATAACGTGCATAACATCTATATGGGCAAACTGGAATTTAATTTTAAAATGCACAATGGTAAAGCGACAGAAATGTTAAAATGAGAATGAAAGTCTACGCGCGCAGAGGGGGTCCCCTCAGCACGAGTGGCTCTGAGGATGCTCGCCTGATTCGAGGAATCTCCCCGTCTGCTCTGGTCTCTGTCTTGGTACAACCCCGCCTCCCCGGAAGGCTGAGCGCTGGTAGATCACATTTCACTCGTGACTCGGTTCCTCTTTTTCCCGGCAGTCCACCGAGGGACAACACCTGAAGTTCAAATTGCATCGTATTGCGGATGGCTATTCTTCTCCGTATATAATGACCGTGGTGACCTCCCGGGGACTCAAAAAGAGTCTTTTGATCTAAAATGACCGGCAAAAGACCAGTCAGTAGGTGTCGTGCATGGTGGTCAGACTACATCGCGAACCTTTCCCACGAGAGGCTCGCTATACCATCTGCCGAGCTTGAGTCCATTGCCCAAGCGAGCACTGAAAGATGCTCCTCCGCCTGCTCGAACCGCGATCCCATCAAATCGGAATAAACGGTTTCGAAAGTTTATGCATGTATGTATGCACATGGTGACCAGCAAACTGTTACCAGGGCTTAGTCTTTCTTTTTAATCCCTTCTCTTTGTTTGCTTTGCCCTTCAGTTCTCATAAATATTGCACATCATCCGAACTGACTCAGGCTTCCGTTCTGCGAATAGGATGATCTAGTCTATATTCATCCATTCCATCATGCGATAGGTATGACCGTAACAGGGGACGATGATGTCAACGAGAGGGATGTTAGGGCGGCTGAACTTGCAAGCCACGGGGACCGCTGCATGAATAGATAGAAGGGCAATAAGTGTGGAGTCATGGGACGTCGGTAGCAAGTCGCAGTTGGTCGCCTCACGCCCCCTCTCCCCGCCGCCGTTCCAAATAAGGACAAAGTCACGCCGCGCGTGAGCCTGCCTTTTACGGTCAATCCCGATAAACATCGTCATATTACGGCATCCTTTCCAAAATAGACATTCCCCTCCCTCCCATTGTACTGTACGGAAAGGAATAAATATTCCGGGGATCTCGTCCACCTATGGCCACTTTGTTTGCTCTGTCTCCATTGTGCCGCGCATGACCTTTCCCCCCTTTTATCCATAAGAGGACATTTTGTATAGGTTCATTTGCATGTTTCCCACGACCCTTCACTGCCAGCATTCCCGAATCCTTCTTCTTAGAAGCACATCACCGTGACTCCTCATGCAATGACAGACATATACATTACATTAACATAGATTACATAAATTTCATTGGTACATTAACACTAGATGGCTCTGCCAGGCTGATAGATTTCTCATAACGTCGACGTTAAAAGGAGGCCTAGTTTTGTCTTATTTCCCCCAGTGCAACTATCAACCACATCGATTTCTAGATGGAGCTGTACAAAAGCATGCAGGCGTGTTCCACCTTTTGTGTTCTCCCAGGGATTGCTCAACAAGGGGAAGCTGTGGGGACGAGGATTTTTGAAGGGAGATCCACTTGAAAAATCTGGGCACGAATCACAACCTCAGGTCACGCTCTTCACCGTCCCGCATGGTAGCATCATTTTCAAAAGGGAAAGAAAAAAGATGGGAGTCCGAGATACCAATCCCACCTGGGTCGCCTCTATAGTCGGAAAAAAGCCTCCCCCTTCTGGTATACATGTACAGTATGTGTACGTGAGAATTCGGCATAGAAATGCGGAGCAGAGAAGAGATAAGCGATTGCGTGGAAAGGGCAAGAAGAAAAATGACTGATGAATTTTGGTTCCGTCGATAGATGTGACGAAGGGAAATAATTAAATTGAAATCCTTCTCTCTTAAACGGGATTGTCGCCGGTGGGGGCAGTGGAGAGAGAAATCCTTCCGGCACGCTCCAACGCTCTCATATGCCCCCAAGGTTTTTAAAAAATATTTTTCCTCCCTCAGTCCTCCAAGAGATTCGGACGTGCTTCACATAATTCACGACCTAGCATGACAAGCAGGGACTCGGGGAGACACTGTCCCACTGCCCCCACTGCATAGCAAAATCATCCTGTGTCGTCTGGGCTGCGTTCGTACAGCTCCATCTGATATTTCATTGTCTGCGATTGTTGTATTCAGGGAAGCAGAAAAAGGATTCCTCTAGCATTAATTCCTTTTCTGTGGCAGACCCATCCAATGCTAGCGCACGGGACGAAATTTCGTTTAATTTAGACAAAAGATAGTTTTCACTAAACACTCATGGCAGTTGCTGTTGTCTTAAGCTTAACACTTTCCAGTGTTGCTTCTCCTGGAAAATTTCGCATTTTCAAACCCTAAAGTTGATGCTTCATCAATTGCTAGACGATCTCATCCGTGAATAACTGGGTAGGAGAGGGAAAAATCCTTCAGTCTGAAGATTTTCCCACGTGTTTTACATCAGAGATGATGTAAAATGTTCAGTAGAATATGGATTGACCTCATTTAGCATGTTAAAATGATCGCATGCAAGCGACAATCGTTCCTTGTTGAAGTATGCGATGGACCTCCATAATGTGGGCAGGGTGATGATGTAAAATTTCATTGTCTTTTAAAACGGCGGGTCGGAGGTCAGGGAAAGCGTTACAAGCAGGAGGCTTTCGTGGTCCAAAGATTAACTGGGAAGTCAATGGATTTCAGATTCAGAGTTTTTTAGAACTCCCAAAGTTGGAGATTTGCAATTTACAAACGTTTCTTGCGAAAAATAGTTACAGTATTACGGAACCAAGCCGGTTCCGAAAAGGGGGAGCAGGGGAAATTTTTTCTCTGCAGACGATAGGAAAATTAAATCTTTTATGAGGTTCTACAAGTAAATATAAAGTATTCTTTTTTGGGTCTAAAATATGTTTGAGCAGCTTCTGTGGAGATTTCAGATCTACCTTAAAAGAAAGGGATAGGAGACGGACTGGGGTGTTATCACTGATAAGTCTCTGTAGCTTCTCCAGTTTTTGTCTAAAATTAACCTCTAAGTGCAACAGAATCGTAGGATACCTGCAGTGCAGTTTAGCCAGCGGAGACAAATCGGTCGTCCTTCTTTTATTTCCAGACTTTCGAGTATTGTTTTTTATTCATAGTTTTTGCAGTATAGCATCCGTCTACCAGGCTGGACCTGAAAGCGGTGAAGGGAATGCAGCTGAATGTGACCTGGCTAATAAGGCAAGCCAAGTGGGAGGGGGTGCCAACTAGGAAATATTATTTTCTCTCGACCTTGAGTCTTCTGAGAGAAGGTTCTTGAAAGGAGACTTGGTGAACATATTTAAATTGCTTTTGATATTCAATAATATTGATTGGAGTGAGATTTTTACTGGTACTTGATACTTGTCCATGATCCATCTTCTACAATTTGGGGGGCATTTCATGAAATTACACTAACCTTGGGGTCAGACAACACTAAATTGGGGATTTTTCACTTGTAGGATAATTGGAGAATGGAACAGCTGACATCGTAGCATGTGAAATCAGAGGCATTTTAAGAGTAACCTGGCAAAGCATGGGCCCACAACAGGTTGAAAATGTGCACTTCCGCGATCAACTGAAGTTTATTGGTTGATGCTTCCTCAAAAGAAATGTTTTATCCCCGAAATGTTTTCTTCTTGGAAGCATAGACCGAAAGTAGAGTTAGGCCTATGCTCCATTTCCCTCTTTCCTTTCGTCTGTCCATCTCTCTCCAAAAAAATGTTCTCGAATGAATAAACAATGTGCTTCCTGATTAAATTTCACGCTAGTCAGTAGGAATGGTAGGTAGGAATATTCATAGGGTAGTTAACAGCACAGTATAGGTATGATGAACATGGTCTGAGTCACGAGCTTCTTTCTTTAGAAAATCATTCAATCCATACCTGCTCGGTCGAACGGGATCTCGTCTTGGCAGGTGTAACCTTGTCGAGATGCTTCGCATTTGTAGACGGCACCTCCTCGTATAACACCTGGTTGCTTGGTCTGCGCCCGTGGTGCTCCTACCAACAACCTGTGGGAACATAAAAAGTATTCCTCTCAAACTTCATAGGTTCGAGCTCCCAAATTCTTCGTTCACGGTTTACTTCATATAGAATAAGAATTTCCTCTCTTTCTTTTCTAGGACTGTTCATTTGGGGTTCGTGCATTCTTACTTGTCAGCCTGTCAAGGAAAGGAAAGAGGAAATTCCATGCTAAAAGATACTTCCGACATCGTGCACGTGCAAAGGCATTCATCTCGGCCTTATCTCCCTCATAAGTCCATCTTTAAGTTCATTAAAGGCGATGTTGTGTTGTGTGGCCTTGTGAAAGATTCCCCGATGACTTGGGTGTCAGAAATAACGCATGCACTCCACAGTAATCCATCCTGAGTGATGCCAAAATTCACGCCAAATCCACCCAAGGGTGCCAAGATTATCCTGGCATCTTTCCTAGTCCTCTTCCTCTTCCACAAGGCCTCCAAAAATCCCCAGTACAAAGTAAAAAAAAAGTTTCTGTTGGACGACAGGATCATGACTTCATAAGAGCGAGGCATTCCGCTAGTGCAACCTGAAGAAGAATTCAGGGCACGATTTATTGCATACACAGCATTTCGTGGAATGAAAGCTTGAGAACCTCCACCGTCACCTTCTTGCATGCTTGATCAATAAGCCAAATTTCCAGGAACGTATCTGGTGTCTCCCTTGTGATTTGGTGAGTTTCGGGGCTATCTTTATACTCAAGGTAACTGGATAGGCTTAAAAATCCGGGAAGGGGGAGACACCACGCCACACTTCCTCCTCGAGATAGCATCAGAGGAGCAAGGTGAGGCTCCATCAGCGTTGGTGAATAGTAAATGAAAGCGGGGGAAGTTGACAGAGACTAATTGGCTGGGGATCTCCGGTGTCATCTCGGATTTCCCTTGAGTTACGTCAACCGATCTTTATCGAGAAAGGGGTTGAAGTATGGACCCGGCTGGGTGTCCCTTGTTTTTCGTCCTCGGTCAGGGGGCAACAACACAGAAGTCACACACACCATGCGCGCACGTGTTTTTCACTATTCCTCGTGATACCATGTTCACAGAACGAAGCGAAGTGCCATGCTACCATGCAGGCACCCTGTTTCTACCTGCCACTAGAAGTCTCTTTCTTCCAATGTACTGTCCACGAACAGTACAATGAAATAAGATCGTCAGCTTTCGTTCCAAGAGTGACATGCATCAGGACACCCTTGTCGAATGCCCGCGAATCTGTAGGTGAGTTCATTTTATGAATCCGAGGCAACTGCAGACACCAAGGCGTCACATTACAAAGAAGTGCCCGCCGTTGACCTCAGTACGCTCGTATCCAGATCACTTTCCTGGCTTTCCTTTCAGACATGGAGTCTGTGCAACTAACAATATATGGAGTCCGAAGCGCTAATTATGAAACTCCTTGCCAGCAGAATTGAGCAACAAAATGGATTCCATGGGCAATGATGTTATAATGCACTCAATTCTTATTCACTCCTCTGATAAATGCGAAGATCTGATTGAAAGACATGAGTGTTCCTTAACATGCATGGCAAATACAGGGTGCCCCAGAATTCCTGCCACCTTTTTAATTTTTTTTTAGCGAAAGGTAAGGTAAAGAGCCATCGCATGACTAAAATGGCAGACAGCATTGAAAAAAAAACCGTTGAAAAAAAAAACAAACAATGATTATCAATGTAATAAACCAATCGAGAAACCCCTCCCATAAGAAGAAAAAAAAAATAAAAATAAAAACGCGACAGATATTCTGGGACCCCCTGTACTATTAATGGAACAAAACCCATAGAGTCTCTTGGCATCCAGTTGGGTTCAGGCCACTTTTCCAGCAAAGGCAGAGAACAGAGAAAAGATTTGTAAGTCTACCGTGAGAGGACAGCGGCGACCAAAAAAGAATACCAGTACGGTTACACCTGGGAAGACTACAAAACCTGATTTCGCCCTAATGATGGGTGGAGGTCTTGCCATATGGAGACTATGGATAAGAAGGATTGCTTCATTTCTGGTCACCTTTCGACCATATCGCGGCCTCACCTTTCCTCCTTGATGCTGGAAGCTCTTTTACGTGTACCCCCAGATATATGTCCACGGGACCTCCCTACGAAGAGCGCCCTTCTCCCTCCCAGGCACGCATATTATCATGATAATCCTGGATAATGGGACACATATCAGTGCTCCATCCTCCTCCTAATCTACATCTCTCTACGTTATGACTTCCAGTTTTGTTCACCATCATTCAAAAGTATTGGAACATTAAAATCATAATTTTTCACCCTACGAGGGTCTCAAGTAGTCCTACCTCTCAAAAGTAACGTCTATAATGAGGAGAATGACGAGGACTAAATGAATTGGACGACTGAAAACTGAAACCAGCGAGGATACTTAGGATCAACCAATAGGGAGGAGCCATCAATCACTGACCTTTCCCCTGGCTGCTCAAATATAACAGAAACATCGGGTAAATCCAGGTGAAAACGCCTTCCTCTTCATGGGATCTATCTTCATTCCTTGGATCTCGCTCAATACATTGAACGCCTCCACCTCTAGATTATCATTTGTGGTAGAAAATGTAGCCCAATGAAGATATCTTGGCGTTCTGGCAATAATTAAGATAGGGGTTGAACTTCCATGAACAAGAATTTGGTGCCAATTCTAGATTATCTCCAATCCTTCCTCATATTATACAACATTGGGATTTTCAGTGTGATGATTATGAAGGATGAAAATGTGATCTCCTCTCAATTCAAGCTATGACCATCGTGATAATTTGGAAAACACCAGGGTCCGTGTGAGAATAGCTTTCTGCTCCATTCATGGATCTTCAAAAAATGCCATTGTACGTCCCCAATTACTGCTTCCATCATTCAATGGGTGTGACCTCAGATAGTTCTTACTCTGTTCCTGAAGCTGTACTTTTCTTGTCCAAAAATGGATCCGTTTTTTTTCATATAAATTTAGTAGCAGACATCTTGGATATGGAAAAACCATTTGTATCCGTCATAGCTGTTTGATTTCTCATATATGGATCTTTTTTTCCCTATAGTATACGAGAATATGATTACTTGAATGGAATCATGTTTTTCTTCAGAATTAATGCCGGACCTCACCCACTTTTCACACTAACGCTTGAAATCACAGAAACAACGCACAAGACCTTAGAGATGGTTCTGTCTGACTGGAGAGAGTTCCATCCAATCAAACCTAAAGAGAAACCTTATTTTGCGCTCATTCCCGTCAGTACGCGAAAAGCGAAAAGGTACCATTTTATTCCAGATGTAGCTTTACACATGCGTGAATCCTTCACAGGAATACATTGATATTCGAAGATCGGGACAAGAAAAGTTGAGGTCTCTGTTGTAGAGATCCTGCTTCTCTCCTACCATCGGTATACGGTAGCATTGAGTTTCTGCGTGTAGAAGCTTGAAAGGTGAAAGATGGGTGGATTCAGCATTCTTTGTTGCCTTCCCTTTCGGGTTTCTACCGTTTGTCAGTCTCAGCTTGGACTCAGCTGGAACCCTGTGTATGTTCAAGAGAGGAACTCTACTCGATGCAAGTTTTAGAAAAGCATTGCAGATGGACTATGTTCTGATGTATTCTTCTCCTTTGACAGATGGAAATATACAGTCGTCACCCTGAACTAGTGTTTGCTCCACTGGGGGGTTCGATGATTCAAATATACCAAACCCTTGCACTGTTAAGGAAAAGCCTCCCTGTTGCCTGAGATGAACAGAGTGAGCATTCTCCCTCGAGGTATTCATGTCCAGAACGAGAAAGACAGGACTCAATCCATTGCCTTTCTTTTCTTCACCGTCTCCTCCTTTTTCTCTTACTGCACGTCTGCAAACATAGTCTTCTGGATATAAAAGAAGGCATTTTCTCCATGCAATTCTCGCCCTCTATCGCCATGCCATTATCGTTAACCACGCCATTAATTTGCCTTACCAGCATTAATCTCGAATGGACTGCGAATCATCCGCAGAACTCGTGTAACTCAGTCAGCAGTAGCGCAGATGGCTCCCACGTCCCTCCCTCCCCTTCCGCGGAAGGAATCTAACTTCAAAGTTCTCGGTCACGCATGTAAAAATGGATACGTTCTTCTAGATGGTTCTTCAAAAAGAGAGACACCGTTTACAATTTCGACAGTGACAATTCACATGATGATTTATACCAAAAAGCGCATAAGCATTCCACGTGCATGAATGGGGACTGTCTTGGTGAAATATTCAGGAAAATCTTTTTGTGTCAGGAAGGCTGTGTGCAGGCATGCAGTCTGAAACAAGGGAAGGACAGAGAAGCAGGTCAAGGAGATTCGTTGATTTCCTATTTCCCCTTGGGTGTCATGCACCAGGTTTCTTAAATGGACAGTGACGTTATGGAATCAGATCAGATTAAGGGAATGAAGGATCTAGTAACTGTCACTCAATTGTCTATAAGGCTTACATTTCTGGAAGGAAAATTGCAAGAAGTCACTCTGGGTAAGTCTTAAATTCCTTCTATCTAGGTAGGGAAGCACTGCGGATTTGACGCCTCACGTTCTTTGTCTCGTTCTTCATTTTTCTTTCCCCTCTCCCGCGCTTGTTTCAGCGCAGATTCCTTAAGCGAGAAATGTGGAGAGTCATTTCTGAATGAAGTCGTTCTCTTAATGTTGCGGAAAAAAAGAGAAGTCTGTTCGCCTTCACTGTCTGGTTCCTTCTTTTTCCTTTTCTCTCCGGTCCCTCCCTAATGTGAACATGAATTCCTCTAGGAGCTAATGCTCACCCTTAGCATATCCCAGCGCGAAAGGAAGATTTCACCTTCCAGGGGTAAAAATCAAGTAGGTTTGGTATATTTTGACTAGAAAGTATGGCCGGAGGATCCTTCAAAGATCATATAGAAGAGATGATACGCAAGGGATGGGGTGAATTCAGTAGTGGTAAATAAGTGGTAGGTAATTAGCAGAAAAGATGAACCCATGACGCAACCCCTAACTCAGTATTTTCAAACTCTGATCAATGGTTGTGATTCAC